CAGGACCTGGGGGATACAAAGAAAGACCATTAAGAAAAGCTAGAGTGGATAGAGCATCGGCCCTGGAGTCAGGAGGACCTGAGTTCAAATCCGGCCTCAGACACATAACACTTACTAGCTGTGTGACCCTGGGCAAGTCACTTAACCCCATTGCCTGTAGCCAAAAAAAAGAAAAAAAAGAAAAGCCAGCACCAAGCAGTCAGCCCAGGTGGCCCTTGGTGCCCGTAGCGGTCCTCCTCTTCATGAAAATGAGGAAGGTGTGCTTGCTTCATTGATCTCTTCTCCCAGGCAAGGCTTGCTTGTTATAATTCATTTCCTTTTCGCAGCCTTTCCATTTGCCCTGTTGTAGTCACTGTGTATGTCGTTTTCCTGCTTCTGCTGACTTCACTCTGCATCAGTTCATGTCAGTCTTCTCACGCTTCTCTGAATTCTTCATAGTTATCGTTTCCTATAAAGCCGTCGCATTCACTCAGCAAACCTTGACCGCGCCCCAGTTGATGGGCATCTACTTTGTTTCCGGGTCTTGGCTGTCACAAAAGAAAATGCTGCTATACGTAGTTTGGAGCATGCGGGATCCTTCTGGCTTTTGGCCTCCTTAGGGTGTGTGCCTTACAGTGACTTCCCCCATTTTACAGAGCAGGAAACTGAGGCCCAGAGCCTCATCATAAGGTCCAGAGCCCTGATAATAAGAACCCATTTCACTCATTAGAGCCTCTACAGTTTATGGGACAGTTTCCCGTCTGTTTTATTAATAACAATTCACATTCCCATACCACTCTGTAGTTTATGAGACGTTGTCCTTGTGGCATCCGGAGGAGGTAGGTAGTTTGACTCCATATTACAGTCTAGTAACATGGCCCTTAGAGAGGTAAAACAACTTGTCCAAGGTCACACAATTAGGAAGCATAAAGAACAAAATGCTGTCCGTTGTTAGTTTGCCTATGGACCATGTCGCCCCCTACTCGGCAAACTGCACTGGCTCCCTGTTGCCTCCAGGATCAGGGACGACACCCTCAGCCTGGCCTTCAAAGCCCTTCCTCCCCTAGTCCCCCCCTGCCTTACTGCTGACCTGTGCTCTTGGATCCGGGGACACCAGCCTCCCGGCTGTCCCACAAACAGACCCATCTCCTGGCTCTGGGCTTTTCCTCTGACTCTCTCCAATGCCTGGAATGCACTCCCTCCTCCGCTCCTACTACTGATGCATAAACAGCATCTTAAAGGAAGAGAAGGACTGTAGGAAGTGGGAGTAAAGACAAGGAATATCCCAGGCAAGCACTTAATCTCCCTGGCCTCAGTTTCCTCATTTGTAAAATGAAGCATTTGAATTCAGTGGCCTCCGAGGTCCCTTTTAGATCTGCATCTATGATCCAGTGACCTTGATTCTGTTATGGATTAAATGTGTGACCTTGGGTAAGTCACTCTCTGGGCCTCGGTTTCTTTATCTGTAAAATGGTGGGGTTGGACTTAGTGGCCTCTAAGGCTGCATCTAGATTCAGATCTGTGACCCCAAATCCCTTCACTTTTCTGGGCCTCAGTTTCCTTGACTGTAATATGAAAGGCTAGGACTCAGTGGCAGGCACTTCTCCTCAACATCTAGGATTATAACCCCCTCTCCCCAACCTAATGTTTTCTAGATCACTTTGAGACAAGCAGAGTGATCCCGATTTTCTAGGAAAGGAGATATCATTATCCCCATTTCTCAGGAGAGGTAACTAAGGCACTATCACCCCACACCCAAGAAAGGAAATGACCTGCCCAAGGTCAGGGAGCACGTTGAAGGCAGAGCCTGGACCAGCCACCCCCAGCCTGGGCCTTTTTTCCCTCAGATGGGCCACCTCTCCATTTTGGACAGGGCCAAACAAATCGGATTTCCTCTGTCCAGCTTGGGGGTGGGGTGGGGGTGGAAGCTGGACTCCTTTGTTCAAGCTCCCCGGTTGCCATGGGACCGGATTGTGATATCACCAGCTCAGGGCGATTATATAAGGTTCTTGAGGGTCAAGGAGATCAGGGTTAACATTCCACTGGGCCCAGACATAGAGGCAGCTGTTGTCTGACAGCTGACCTGTTTATGTAAGGGCATTGGGAGGGCAAGTGGGTGGTGGTGCCTGGGCAGAATCAGGACCCGGGGCCACAGGGCAGGACTGGGACCTGGCATTGAGGAAGCCTCCGTGGTGTGGTCCTGCAGGGTGGGTGGATATGGGGGCTGTTAAAAGGCATGGGGGGGTGTCATTGGGTGGATTCAACTAACCGTGAGCTGCGCGAGGACAGGGCTCAAGTGTAAAACTTTAAAAAAAATTTTAGTGATGCTTTTTGGTTTTTATTTTACTTTCATTTTCAAGTGAATCCCCACCATCTATCGTTAGGCGGTCAGCGTTTGTTAAATACCTGCTATATGCCAAGCACTGTGCCACGCTCTGGGGATACAAAGAAAGAAGAAAAAAAACCACCACGGGCTTACATTTCTGATCAGGGAGCACTGGTTTGGGAGGGCTCTGCTCTGCCTTCAAATCCTGCTCCTGGTGCTTATCGCCTTGTGACCTGGGACCTTTCATTCAGTCGTTTGATCAATAAATATTAAGTGCCTGTAGATTTGGATCAGGAAGGGACCTAATCTAAACCCCTGAAACTTTACACACGAAAACACTAAGGCAAACAGGGGTTAAGTGACTTGCCCAAAGTCACCCAGCTCTTAAGTGTCTGAGGCCAGATTTGAATTCAGGTCTTCCTGACTCCAAGTCTAGTGCTCTATCCACTGCACCATCTGACCGCCTTATCTGTAAAATGCAACAGTTAGACTAGATGACCTTTGAGGTCCTCACTATGGTTGTGCTAAGTGATCTCCAAAACCCCTCCCAGCCCTGACATCCCCTGTTCTAAGGCCCTTCCCAATCCTGACATTCCCTGTTCTCAGGCCACTCCCAGCCCTGACATCCCCTGTTCTAAGGCCCCTCCCAGCCCTGACATCCCCTGTTCTAAGGCCCCTCCCACCTCTGACATTCTCTATTCTAAGCTGCCTCCCAGTTCTGACATCCCCTGTTCTAAGGCCCTTCCCAATCCTGACATTCCCTGTTCTCAGGCCACTCCTAGCCCTGACATCCCCTGTTCTAAAGCCCCTCCCAACTCTGGCATCCCCTGTTCTAAGGCCCCTCCCAGCCCTGACATCCCCTGTTCTAAGGCCTCTCCCAGCTCTGACACTCCCTGTTGCCAGGCCCCTCCCAGCCCTGACATCCCCTGTTCTAAGGCCCCTCCCACCTCTGACATCCCCTGTTCTAAGGCCTCTCCCAGCTCTGACATTCCCTGTTCTAAGGCCCCTCTCAGCTCTGACATTCCCTGTTCTAAGCTGCCTCCCAGCCCTGACATTCCCTGTTGCCAGGCCCCTCCCAGTTCTGACATCCCCTGTTCTAAGGCCCCTCCCACCTCTGACATCCCCTGTTCTAAGGCCCCTCCCAGCTCTGATACCCTAAGATTCCATGCCTCTCTCTCCCTTCCCTCCTATCCTGCCAGCCTGACCCCTCTTTCTGGGGAGAGCTCCAGGGCAGAGACCACCCTATTGCTTTTCCTTGCACCCTCTTGTCTCACCCAACACAGCCCCCAGACCCACCCAGCCCTATGGTTTCCTTTGCCAGATGAGGAAGCTGGAGCCCGGAGAGGTTATTCGCCCAAGGTCACACTGGCTGTGTCTCCACTGGTGTTCCTTAAATCTTTGTTCAAGCACATATCTACAATGCATGTGAATGCTATGCAAATCACATGCAAATAAACCAGCGGCTCTTGGGAATGGCTTGGTTGGGGGAAGACTGATGTTGAGGACATTCCCAGGGTCCTCCATTTTGGAGGGGGACGTTTTGACCAGGCTGAGCTGGATCGCTCATTCTAGCCCGGATTAGGAGATGAGGAGGGGGATGTTCTCCCCCCCCCCCAGCCTGTCCCCCAGCACCAGCCTCTGACACAAGGCAGGCACACAGTGTGCCAGTGTCTGGGGCCAGACAGAGCTCCCAGCACGGTCCTGTCAGGTGCTCACTGAAGGGACCCTTCCTGGCCAGGCCCTTTGTATAGAGATGCTTTCCTGGGGTGAGTGTCTCGGGAAGATAGGCTGGTTGTTGAGGAAGAGGGGGGAGGAAGAGAACAAGGTTTCGATTGTGTGGCCCACGGCGAGCCTCCCGTCCCATGCGGATACCTTAGAAACAAGAGAACCCCTGCGGGAGGGGGGCGGGGGGAGTGATTTACTGGAGTGTCCCCACAGTGGAGTCACAGTCGTAAGCCTGTCCCTGAAGGGCATGGGGTGGGATTGGAAGGACCCGGCCAAAGAGGCAGGAAACTGGGGTTCAGATCGCAGCACTCAGATTTGTAAATTTGGGGTCCCCCTCACTGAAGGTCTTCACATACAGACTGGATGTCCATTTGGGTGTGGGTCCTGACTCAAAAGTGAATTGGATTTACCTAAGGCGGGGCTGTGCAGTCATCAGCCTCGTTCTCTCCTCCAACCTTTGGGGGCTATGGATGACCTCTGAGGTCCCTCCCTACTCTGAAGGAATGCTGTACTTGAAGCTGAGAGGTCTGAGTCCAAATCCTCCAATTACCAACTGATTATAGGTCACTTCTTGCCTCTGTTTTTTCATCTGTGAAATGGGGGATGATAGTACATTACTTACCTCCTAGGGCTAGGGTGGGGAAAGTACTAGCTCAGTGTTTTTCTCTGTTATTTCTTCTGGTGACTCAGATTTTGGTCTGAACCACAAAAATGCCCAGCTCGCCTGTCTTTCCTCCCCCGCAAGCCCGGGGCTCAGAGCCTTGGCCCTCGCAGGCCCCCAAGAAGTGTTGGTTTCAATGAAAATTCATCTTGGATGAATATGTTACCCGGAAGCTGGACAAGAAGATGCCTGAGAGGTCGAGGAGCTGGCCCCACAGGCTTTGTGAAGGATGGGCCTTGTTCATGCTTCAGGCCTGTCCATCCCGCCTTGGCCTGCTCCTCCTAACCCTCGTCTCTCTCCCCTTTGCAGCCAAGAAGACGTGCTCAGACAGCGACTTCACTTGTAACAACGGGCACTGCATCCCAGAGCGCTGGAAATGTGACGGCGAGGAGGAGTGTCCCGATGGGTCCGACGAGGCCGAGGCCACATGCAGTGAGTGTCTAATAAATGCTTGTGGATGAGGAGGAGGATGCTAGTGCCTCAAGTGAAATACGCAGGATTACAAGGGACACCAGTTACGCCAGAATATTTTAAAAAATAAGATCACTGGCCCCACTTTAGAACAGTGGGTCTGGAGACAGGAAGACCTGAGCTGAAAGGCAGCCTCAGATACTTACTGACCGTGTGACCCTGGGCAAGTCACTGAAACTCTATTTGCCTCAGTTTCCTCAGTTGTAAAAAGGGGATAATAATAACATTCATCTTCCAGGGTTGTTGTGAAGATCAAATACGATAATACTCGTAAAGCATTTAGCACAGTGCCTTACACACAGTAGGTGCTTAATAAATGCATGTTCCCTTCCGTCCGTATTCAGAACTCCTCGTCCGATCTACTACCAACTTTGCTTTTATCAAATTAGAGACAGAGGCTCGTGGAGAGGAAGACTCTTGTACTAACAAGAGTCCACAGTGTCTGGATGTCAGAATCAGGTCTGGTCCCCTCTTTTCCCTGCCCCCAGGGCCCTTGTTCAGCCCTCCTCCATGGCCACAGGGGGACCTGCCCCCTCTTCCTTTCCTCTAGAAGGAGGGAATATGGACGTGTGAGGCTGCCAGCTGATGGTGACTGAGCGTGGAGGAGGAGGAGGATCTGAGTTAGAATCCTGGCTGAGATACTTAGCAGCTTTGTGACCCTGGGCAAGTCACTTGGGGCGCAGTTTCTTCATCTCTAAAATGGGAACAATAGTGGCACCAACTTCAGAGGGTTTTTGGATGGGTCAAATGAGATAATATATGAAAAATGCTTCGTAAACCCTAAAATACTATATATAAATGCATGTATGTACATATAGGCATATATATACATATGTGTGTGTGTGTGTGTAGGCAGCTAGGTGGCACAGTGGATAGAACACTGGCCCCGGAGTTAGGAGGACCTGAGTTCAAATGTGGCCTCGGACACTGAGTAGCTGTGTGACCCTGGGCAAGTCACTTACTCCCCCCCCCCCAATGCTAGTTACAGTGATAGTGTAGGGGTGTTGTGTGAAAGAGGGTAGATGTGTGTGAAGGGATAGCCCATCAAATAATCCCATCAAAGTGGGATTAGATTTGTTCTGATTGGCCCCACAAGGCAGAGCTTAGAGTGCTAGGGACAGGGGGAAGAGGTGGGAAATGCCTCCTATCAGTGCACGCTGTCCACAAATGGATTAGAATGCCTTGAAAGGTAGTGAGTTCCCCATCACCTAGAGGTATCCCAGTTGGATGAGCATTTGTTGGCCAGGGAATTCTTGTACAGGTATAGGTTGGTCAAGAGGGTCCCTGAGGTATCTTCTACCTGGGAGGTTCTGTGTATTTTATGTGTGTGTGTAGATGGGTTATTGATCACTATTTGTTAAGCACCTACTATGTGCAGGCACCATGCTAGGCACAAATACAATACCAGTCGGTCCTTGATAGAAGCTCTCCTTGGCTGAAGGTCCTGAGGGCCTCAGAGCTGGCTTTCTGGGGTACGTGGGAGCTCCACGTGGGGCCTGGGAAGGACCAGGTGCTCTGTGGACCCCCATGGCTTTGGAAGACTCTGGAAGCCTCTGGGAAGTGAATGCCATTCTCACGGTTTAATTTAGCTCTGTCAGAAAATTGGCCTGATCATCTGGGCAGTGACGGGTTTATTAAGAAAAGACAGAGCCGTCTCCTGGGCAGGAGGTTAATCCCGACGACAGCTGGTCTCTGGGTCTCAGCCCAGTTGTGGGCCTGAGTCTGTTAGTGCGGGGGTGGGGGGGGTGAGGCCTGAGAGGGTCTTCTGTGGTCACCAGAGGCAGGTACACTGCTCTCAGCTACCAGTGTGTGACCTTGGCCAAGTCATTTTCTGCTCTTCAGCTCTTTGTTAGTAAAACCAAGAGTCTCCAAGACTTAAGGTTCTCTCTTCAGTTTTCTCAAGCCCTGAGTTCTGGGGTTGCTTTCTCCTGCTCCCCTGCTCCCATCGCTCACTCTGCCCTGTGTTTGTGTCTCCCTCCCCAACACAGCCGAACAGGTGTGCCCCGCTGAGAAGCTGAGCTGCGGCCCCTCAAGTCACAAGTGCATCCCCTCATCCTGGCGCTGCGACGGGGAGAAGGACTGCGAGATGGGCACCGATGAGGTCGGCTGCACCACAGGTGGGCACCTTGGGGGCGGGAGGGGGGCGAGAGGCCAGCCCTGAGCCCAGGATCATCTTCTGGACGAGTCGTGGAGATGTAGAGGGGGAAGGGGCCCGAGAAGCCATCTAGCCCGATAGCTCTCTTTTACAGCCAAGGAGACTGAGGCCCAGAGGGACCAAGGGCTCCGATTCAGAACCAGAAGGAGCCTCGGAGGTCATCTGGTCCAACCTCATCATTTTGCGGAGGAGGAAACTGAAGCCTGGGGAAGAGAATTGATTTTCCTCCGGGAATAAGTAGCAGAGGCAAGATTTGAACCCAGGTCCTTTGACACTCCAGCATGCTGCCTCATACAGTTCTTAGGAAATTTTTCCTTAAATCAAGCCCTGGTTCAAATCCCAGCTGTGCCACTTACTAGCTTCGTGACCCTAGAGAAGTCACGCTGCTGCTCTGAGACTCAGTTTCCCCATCTGTAAAATGGGGAGATAACCTTCCCTCACTGGGTGGTGAGGACAGCTCTTTGTGAGCCTTGCTGTGTCAGAGAATTAGGAGCTTTTATCAGGTTGATTCAGTTCTGGGCCTCACATTTTAGCAAAGACGTTGGAATGCTGGTGGGAGTCCCAGCTGGTAAATAGGATGGTGCCGTAAAGAGGACTGGGCACTGTGGACGTGGAGCAGGGAAGTCTTAGGGAGCATGATAGCTGCCTTCAGGTAGTTGGAGGGCCATCCCATCGAGGAGAGAAGGATTCTGTTTGTTCTGCGGGGCTCTGAGGGCTGGGAGTGGGGGAGTGACAGAGAGGCCAGCCTGGGCTTGAGGGGTAAAAGCTTCTGCCAGGGACGCCCTGGGCCTCCAGGCCCAAGGCCGGACGCTGGCATGGGAACAAACCCAAAACAATCCCTGGGGCTGATTCAGTTACCGGGGAAATCACACGTGGCCACTCCTTCCTGGAGCTGGGGCCAGAAGAAGGCTGGAGCCCCTTCTGCCTCCGGGCCAGCAAACCTTCTGAAAATCTGGGACTCTAGGAGAGAAGTGTTGAAACGCCGACATGCTGGGTGCCAGGTGAGGCAAATCCATGGGCATCTATTAAGCCTTTACTGTGTGCCTGGCACGGTGCTGGCTCCTGCCTCAAGGAGCTTACACTCTAGTGGGGACAGGGGGAGGTCCTGTGCTGGCCACTGAGAGAGATAGAAAGCACAGCCCCTGGACTCACAGGGAGCTTCAGCCTAGTAAGGGGACAAGATGGGGACCAGTGTTAAGTATGGTACGTACAGGAAGGACAGTGGAGTTCCAAGGCAGGAGAGACCCTGGTTGGCTGTGGGGGATCAGGAAGGCTGAGAAGAAGGAGGGTCACTTGAGCGGCCCTTAATGGATGGGGAGGATTTTGGAAGGCAAGGGAAGGGGCTCCAGGCATAGGGAACAGCATAAACAAAGGTGTAGAGGTGGAAAAATACTGGACCTGTTTAGGGGATAGATCGGTTTTAGTAGATGTCTTGGTTTGCATGTTTGCCTCCCCCACTAGATGGCTCTTTTTTAAAAAAAAAAATTCAATAATTTATTTTTCAAACATGTTTATTAAAGTTTTGCGTTCCAGATTCTACCCCTCCCTCCCTCCCTTCCTTCCCTGCTCCGCTGCCTGAGACAGTAAGCAATCAGATGTAAGGTTATCCATGTGCAGTTGTAGATTAGACGGCCCTTTGACAGCAGGCACTGCTTGCTGTTTATGGTTATCTGTCCCTGGTGCTTAGTACAGCGTTGGGCGTGTAGTAGGTGCTTCATAAATGCTGGTTGACTTCATACCTGGAGGGACTTCTGGGATATCGGCTGGAAAAGACCCTAGGATCATCGGTTCAGAGCCGCAGGGAATGTCAGAGGACAGGTGGTCCAAGCCCTCGACCTTTCACCGAGGGGAGACAGGTGTGATGGAGTGGCCCGCCGTGTCCCTGACTCACCTGGGCGTGCACATTCTCTCTTCCCCAAAGTCTGCTCCCCCGGAGAGTTCCAGTGCAGTAACCGGACGTGCATCGCCACGGTCTTTGTGTGCGACGGGGACGACGACTGTGGCGATGGCAGCGACGAACGGGGATGCCCGGCCCAGGTCTGTGGGCCCCAGGAGTTCCGATGCAACAGCAGCGCCTGCATCCCCCGAGCGCTGGCTCTGCGATGGCCAGGCCGACTGCGAGGACCGGTCAGACGAGGGGCCTGAGCGATGCGGGCGCCAGGCGGGTACGGCGGCCCCAGCCACCTGCAGTGCCAGCGAGTACCCGTGCGGCAGCGGAGAGTGCATCCATCTGACCTGGAAGTGTGATGGGGACGCAGACTGCAAAGACAAGTCCGATGAGGCCAGCTGTGGTGAGTGCCTGGGGGGAGGGGGAGGCGGGTGAAGCAGGAAGTCTCTGAGGGTCCCTCCAGTCCTAACAAGGCAGAGTAACGGAAGAATGGCGAGCAGACCATGAGAGGAGACGAGAAACATCCCAGGCAAAGGGGATCCGTGACGGGGACCGGACTGAGAAGTCCTGGGAAGATCCCCTGGTCAAAGGGGACCCCAGCTCCAGGCCATACCGGGTCTGCCCCATCTCCTCCTTGGTCTGCTTCCTTCTCACTTCCCTTTAAGCCTTCCTTAGGAAGACGGACCCACAGCTGTGTTCTTACCCCTATGAGCATCCCCTTCACCAATGCAGATTGCAGCCCATCCTGCTTGACCCCTGGCAAGATGTTTGCAGAGCACTTAGGAGTTACAAAAAGCCTTTCCCTCAAATGAGATAATGCGTAGAAAGTACTTTGCAAACTATATAAATGCTAGTTATTGTTGTTATTGACAGCTTATAGCGCCCCTCTGAGGAAGGAGTCCAGGCAGGGTCTGCTATCCCTGGTACGTTAAATTCCCAGAGCATCATCTGGGCACCCGCCGGACCCAAACACCTCTTTGACGTCTCCCCATCCATGATCCACAGGCACCCCACACTCGGCTTGCTCCAACGCAGAGCTCCTGAGCTTCCCCTCCCCCCCGCCTCCCCTGTCCCCACCAAACCCTCCTCCCTCTCCCAGTCTTCCCCCTTGCTGTCGAGCTCCCTGCCCCCAGGTTCCCGTGAGGAAGCTTCAGGGAGAGGAAGGGATGTGCCCCATCCCACAGCTCCTAAGCATTGGGACTGGCCTTGGGCCTTCAATCCAGGGTTCCCCCTACCATGGCCTTGGTTAGACGGGCAGGGGACCCCCGAGAGGCTGCCTGCCCGGGCTGTCCACGTCACTTGTCAGGGCTCTGCTGCCTCCAATGCAGGTGCGCCCCAGATAAAAGGGAAGGCAACAGTGCCCACGGGCAGAGCCGGAGGGCACAGAAGTGGGTATGGTGCAGACCTGGCTCTGTGGAGCTGCCTTTCTGAGGCAGGCCAAGAGCTCTGGATGTGTTGGGGGAAGACCTTGGCTTCGAGTCCCCATTCTGCTGTTACAACCTTCGTGTTGTTTTTATGGTTGAGTCATTTCCGTCGTGTCAGACTCTCCGTGACCTCATTTGGGTTTTCTTGGCAAAGACACTGGAGTGATTTGCCATTTCCTTCTCTGGCTCATTTTACAGATGAGGAAACTGAGGCAGACAAGGTGAAGTGACTTGCCCTGGGTGACACATCTAGGAAATGTTCAAGGGCAGATTTGAACTCAGGTCTTCCTGACTCCAGGGCCAGTGCTCTGTGCAGTATGGCACCACCTAGCTGCTACTGGGCAAATCATCTCACTTCCGTGGCACTCTGGAGAGGCCTGGTGGGCATTGCGGTCCGCTCCGGCTCTAAGTCTACAGCCATTCCTAAGGAGCTGCTGCCCTTGAAATATGTGCAGATAGTGATATGAGGGAAAAGAGGAATCTGAAGGAGGGGTCCTTAGTGATGTGCTGGGGCCAACTGAGAAAGGGGAGATCATCTCATCTCAGTTGAGGGCACTTGGAGGGAGCATGGAGAATTTAGAGCTTCAAGGAGCCTTAGGGTCATTTAGTCCAACCGAGGCAGCTTCCAAGTCCATCCCATATTACCAGTTAATCACTGAGGAGCGGGCGTGCCCCTGGCCCGTCTCTGCCACACCATGCTGCCGTCCCTGGCTTGCTGGTGTCTCCCTGGCCCCCGGTTCTCAGAATAAGGGAGGCGATTGTCCCTCTGTCCCCTGCCCTGGCCGGGCTCCAGCCGGAGGCTTGTGTTCAGTTTAAGAAGGATGTGGATCAATTGGAGGGTGTTCAAAGGAGGGCAGTCAGGATGGTGAGGGGCCTGGGGACTGTGCCATCCGGGGATTTAATTAAAGGAGCCAGCTAAGGCTGTTTAGCCTGGATTAAGGAAGATTTGGGTGAGATGTGATAGCTGTCTTCAGCTGTCACGTGGAAGAGGGATTAACCTTAGGCTTACTGGGAGTGGGGAGGTCATCTCTCCCCGCCCCCTCATGTCACAGACCCACGATCATAGAAAGGGTCATTGAGCCGAGGTCCAGGGACTTACCCAAGGTCCTTCAGGCGAGCCGATCTCAAAGCCTGGTTCCACCTGTATAGTTCTACCATGGGAATGATCAAGTCTGTGTAGTGGGAATCCACAAAGTGGCCTGGTGGAGGCCGAGGGCCTGAGCTCCGCTTGGCTTCAGAGGGCAGAACCACAAGCCTGGGGGGAGGCTGGTGTCAGCTCTGCCCATAAGAGCATCCCAGAGTGGGGTGAAGGCCTCGGCAGGGAAGCCTGCAGCCCTCCTCCCCCAGCACTGGCACCACTATCCCGCTTAGGGAAGTCCCAGAACTCTGGGCCGTAGCCCACATGTTTTCTTAGCTAAGCGGGAAGGGTTCCCCTGTGTCTTTGCCGAGTTGCCCGACGGTGAGAGGTCTGTGTTTCCCCAGTGTGACCCTTTCTGTGTCTCCTCTCCCCCTCTCTGAAGCTGTGGTGTCCTGCCGTGCCGAGGAGTTCCAGTGTGCAGACGGGACCTGCGTCCAGGGGGCCAAGCGCTGTGACCAAGAGCAGGACTGCCCCGATGGCAGTGATGAGGCCGGCTGCCTGCAGGGTATGTCCTGGGCCAGGGGTGGGGCAACGGGGACTTCTTGTGACCGTGCGTTGGATGGCCAGATGCTGCGTGGAGGAGGCCAGGCAGGCAGGACCTCCAGATTGGGTGCTGGCTCTGTCTTCTGCAGCCGGGCCTAGGGGGAGGCTCAGTGACCTCAGTGGAGGGTCACCTAGCTCTTGTACTAGGGTTCTCCAGATGCCAATGAAGCCCACAGTTTAGACCCCCCAGGGACCTGCTAGAGGGTGGCCGAGGCCCAGGCCGACGTTGTCTGATCTGTCTGGGCGTCTGCTCCAGCTAGGAGGGGCCTCTGAGCAGGGCGCAGGCCTAGCATGACCCAGACCTCCTCAAATCCATGGAGGGGGATGAGGCCGAGCCAGGAAGGTCCAGACAGGCGGATCTTAATCCCATTCCAGCTGGCCCAGAGGAGTGCTCTGCCTTTGAAGGGCAGCCTTCCTCGTCCCTGGAAGTATGCCGAGCAAGGCTGCATGACCACTTGTCGGGGGTTTTGTCAAGGAGATGAGCCAGAAACCTTGGAGGGGACCCTTTTTGACCCTTCTTTTCCATCCTAAAGGCTGGCGGGAGGCTCAGCCCCTTGCCAGCCCCCTTTTTGGTATCTCCTCCATGCCTGGATGTGCCCTGGGCCTGGTTCTGCCCCGTCCCCAGCAGCCTAACAGACTTTGCTCTCTTGTCCGACCCGACAGAATCCACATGTGAAAGTCCCGGCAAGTTTCATTGTAAGAGTGGCGAGTGCGTGGACAGCAGCAAAGTGTGCGATGGTCGCGCAGATTGCCGCGATGGGTCTGATGAGCCGATGAAAGAATGTGGTACGGTCCCCACCCCCACACTGCCCCCCGCTGCTCTCCAGGGCTCTGCCCTGCCTGCTCTGCCCTCTGCTCCCAACTAATTCACTGTGTGACCTTGGGCAGGTCACCTAACATCTCTGGCCTTTCTGCCTTTGCAATGACAGGGGATGGGATCTCTGCCCTCAGACCCCTTCCAGCTCTGCTGCCCTCAGCCTCTCTCTGCCTGTGCCCTCGCTCCCATGCTCCACAGTGGGGCTTTCCTTCTCTCTCTCTCTCTCTCTCTCTCTCTCTCTCTCTCTCTCTCTCTCTCTGGCTTCCCCTGTCCTGCTGATATAGCCAGGGTCTTAGCCCTACACAGGCAACTTCACATCAAGAAAAAGAAATCATAAACCATGAACCAGTCTGGGCTTGTCAGGGGGCAGATGAAGCATCTCCCTGGTAGATGGTGAGGTCCCCGTCATGGAATGTATTTAAGCAGCAGCTGAGTGACCACGTGCAGGAGATGCCTTAGAAGGGGTGGGGAGCCTTTCTTCAGATCCACAGTGCCTTCTAGCTCAGATTCAGTGAGAGTCATTAGTATAATGGGCACGGAGCAGGCAGAAGGTAAGAACACAGGCTTCCTATGTGACATAGGGAAACAGGGTGTAGACCTAGAACCCCACAGACCCCTCTGGGCCTCAGTTTCCTTTTTTTTTTAAATGAGGGGGTTGGCCTCTGAGGTCTCTTCCAAGTGTAGGACTGGGAGCCTATGAAATTTGAAAAATGAAATCAGCTTGAAGGTCACAGTTGCCAGAGTTCAGAAAGGGGAGAGGTCCGAGGGGGGAAAGTGGGGGGCTCAAATAGCTGAATAATCAGGAACAGGAAGGAGGAAGGGTGGGAGAGCATTGGCCTGGGCAGATGCCCTGGCCGGTTGGGTCTCAGTGCCCACCTAGCCAAGCCAAGCTCCCAGAAAGGTAGGCCAGGGGATCGAGGGGAATGTGGGATCTAGCCAGATTACAGGATCGGGCCCAGGGGGGTTATTCCCTCCTCATCTTTCCCACTGCCCCAAGGATGGGTCCTGAGCATTGTGGTTCTGGCCCTAATGGCGGCCTTGTCTCTGAACTTGGTTAAGAAAGCAGAATGAGTCTCAGGCCTGACCACGCCTCCAAATCTGAGTTATTGGACAAAGACTCCATCATCTGGGAAAAGGAGAGTAGGTGCTTCACCATCCCTTCCCCCAAACTGCCCATTCGGGACTGATATAAAGGAACAGTGGAGGGCTGGGGGAAGCCACAGTCATCTGGCTTTGATCTAACACAGTCATACTCATCAGGGATAAATACAAAGTTCTGTCCTTGGGTTCAGTGAACCAGCTGTACAAGTGGAGGTTGGGAGAGGTAGAGCTAGAAAGTGTTTTGTAGGGAAAAGACCCGACGGTCCTACTGGACCACAAGGTTAACATGAACCTGCAGTGGGATACAGCAGCCAGAAGAGCTAATGTAGCCTTGGGCTCCTCTTTTAACGGAGGCCCGGCACCTAACAGAGCAGTCAGTGCAATAGGTCCCCCCTTCCTTTACGAAGGCCTTTGATGGACTGGGATTCACCCAAAAACGGATGCCCAGGAGGCTGGAGATCAGGCCCTTTGAGGATTCCTTGGAGAAAGTAGGGGTGCCTAGTCCCGAGGGGGGACGTGATAGCTGTCTCCAAGTATTTGGAGGGCTGTAAGTGGCCTTGTACGGCCAGACGCCAGAGGGCAGAAGAGCGGGTTAAGTGATGGAGGGAAGTCACAAAGCAGCAGCGTTAGGTACGATGTCAGGAGATCCTTCCCAAGCATGGGAGGGGGTCCCAAAGTGCCTTTCCAGTCACAAGTCAGAGAGGTATCGGCTCTTACTCAGACACAAGGTGAGCCAGCTGCCCCTGGGTCCCCTTCAGCTCTGACAGGGCCCTCCCTACTGAGAGCAGTCCTGGACATGGCGGAACCTTCCAGCAAAGGGGCCAGACCCCCCTTCCGCCTTTCACCCCTCTCACCATCACCCCTGGAGGCACAGAAGTCAGCCAGGGGACATTAACCGATTAAACTCCTTCTCTTCCTCCCTCTCTCTTGCATGATTTACCCAAGTGAAGTGCGCATGGGCGTGTGTTTGTGCGAGCATGGTCCATGTGTGTTTGGAATAGCGTTGTGACACTGTGTCAGGTTTGGGGTCCTTGCTGGGGCCTTCCGGGAGCCCTGACCTGCTTCCTTGGCCCCCTGGGTTGCTTCGGAGGCACTTCCTCTCCGGACCCCTGGGGTCACCCCTTAGGGCCTCTGCTGCTAATCATCTCTGTGACTTGGACAAGGAATTTCAAGCCTCAGGGCCTCAGGATTCCCCAACTCTAAGATGAGAGGGTCAGACTGGACCCCGGAGGTTCATTCCAATTCAAAATCTGTTGACCCGCATTCTCCAAGCCCCTTAATGATATTCGTGTCCCATGATTCCCTGAGACTCCATTAGGGTGGCTCACTGCCTGCTCTGATATACTTTGGCAAAGGCTTGGGAAGGGGACCCCTCTGTCCCCCTCCCCAGACCTCTCCCAGGGTCCCAAACAAGCCAGTTCTAGTCCCCTCAGGGAGTGTGGAGACATCGAGAACAGTGAAGGACCGTCTTAGCGGAGGATGCTGGTGAGGGGTGGGAAGCGGAGAGAGGTGGGCCTAGAGTTTCAGGATTGCCCCCCAATTATTGGGAGAGGGGAGATGAAGGTGATGGGGAAGCAAAAGATGCCAAGAGACATTTTTGAAATAAATCCATGTTTTGGGGAATGGGCTGACCTTCTCTGTGCTCTGTGTAGCTCAGTCTCTGAGGGCTGTGTCCTTGGGCTCACTGAGATCACTCCTGCCTGGCTCTTGAGCGTCCTTCATCCCCCTGATGGCATCCTCCTGTCTCTGGGGTTCAGGAAGGCCTGGGAGACCCGGCTCCTGAATGAGGTGGGGCCTCCAGGCAGCCAGACCCCCAGACCCCCAGGGACTCCACAGGAGGCAGTGCAGGGCTTCAAGTGAGAAGACCTTTATTGGAATGCTGACTCCGCCCTTTGCTCTGGGCAAGCCATCAGCTTTCCCCATCTGTACAATGGGAGCAGTGTGCTGATGCTTCCCTCCTTCATGGCTGTATTGTGGAAAGTGCTTTGTAAGCCTGTGTGTGGCAGAAATGGGAGATGTCGCCATCACCATCGTCATTGTCATTTCAGTTACGACAGCGGCCCGGGGAAGGAAGAGGCAGTCCAGGGGTAACGGCACTCGTCTCTGCATGGCTTGGGGCACTCCAGCTGTGCATGACCCTGGAGGGGGGAGGGGCTGACAGCTGCCTTTGCATGGCCCGGGAGGCCACCTGCTGTGCGTGGTGTGAGCTGGGGTCCCAGAGGCTTCTGCAGCTGCTGCGGGGGCTGCCCCAGGGTGGAGGAAGGGTTTGGGAATGGCCCCAAGCTTCAGCAGGCACAGGGCAAAGAGGCCACTGGGGCAAAGGAGCCGCTGATGCAGAGAGCAGTCTGCCCCTTCTACCACCCCCAGACCCAAATGCTCCTGTGCACGCCTGCCTGGAAGGAAGAGGCAAACATACCAGCAGGAGCTCTTTTAGCTCTGGGCATCTAAAGCTTCTGAGACAGAGCCACTGGCGGGGGGCTGGGGTGGGGGGGTGGCGGTCCAAAGTCTGGAGCAAGGACCTGGGAAGGGAAGAAGTTCCAACAAACAAACTCCATAAGGAGAGGATGGGAAAGGGGTGGCTAGCCCTAGGCAAGCCGTAGGTCAAATGAAAAAGACCTGGAGGTCTTAGTTGACCCCTAGCTTTAATATGAGCTTTCAGTATGATAAGGTTATTTAAAAGCCCCTCCAACACGAATGCTATCCTACAAGGCTTACCTGTCAGAGAAGGCAATGTAGTACAGTGGAAAGAACCCTGACTCTAGAGTCAGGGTGACCTGAGTTCAAATTATGCCTGTGGGACTTTGGGACTTTTGCTCAAATTCCCTGGGCCTCAGTTTCTCCCTTTGTAAAATGAAGGCTTGGACTGGATGGCTTTCTGAAGTCGCCTCCAGCTTCCTTAGGATCTGATGGACTGTGTTGTCCTCCACATTGGTTAGGCCCCATCTACTGTGCCCAGGGTTGCATCCTGGGTACCGCATCTCAAGAAGGTTGTTGACAAGGGTGTGGGTCCAGCACAAGATGGTGAACAGGCTAGTAATCAGGCCCAAGGAGGCCTGTTTAGCCTGGAGGGACTAACTCCAGAATTAACTCAGGAGGGATGAAGTGGCCTGGATAGGTGAGGCGAGGAATTCTTACCCTTGTTCTGTTTGGCCCTGGGGGAAAAACACAGGAATTTTGGGGGGAGATCACAAAAAAGCCAATATAGTCTGGATGACAGAAAAAACTTTCTCACAATGAGGTCTGGCCAGAAGTGAAGGAGCTGCCATGACAGGTAGTGAACCCCCTGTCACTTGAAGTATTCAAGAGGAGGTAGATGGCTGCCTGCCAGGGAGGGTGCAGCTGAGATTGCCACTGCATTTAGGAGTTCTTTAATTCTTGGCAAAGGGCCAGGTACTTAGGTTTCTAGGAACCCCACAGCCCTGAGAGAGAGAGAGAGAGAGAGAGAGAGAGAGAGAGAGAGAGAGAGAGAGAAGGGGGCTGAGTCAAAGTTGGATCGGGAAGGGGAGGCCTGGGCCCCCCTTTGCCCTCTCCCAGAGCTGAGACAGATTAAGAGCTAGAAGGAAGCTGGGCTCCAAGGAACTTTGGCACCTAACCCTTCTCAGTGTACCCTGGGCCTCCCAACTCCTTAGCGCCCCCTCACCTGGGGCCACTGTGGTCTCAGGAGCCTCAGACCCATTTTTCTTCTTCCAGAGGCTAACGAGTGTGCCCACAACAATGGTGGCTGCTCCCACATCTGTAAGGACCTGAAGATTGGTTACGCCTGTGAGTGCCCGCCAGGATATGAGCTGCTGGACAAAAAGACGTGCGGAGGTGAGGCCCCGGAGGGCTGGGAGGGACAGAGGCACGGTGATCCAGCCGGGGGTCTTCAGCTGCTGGATTCCTCAGCCCCACTGGACAGACATCTCCTCCAGGAAGCTGCCCCTGAAAGATGACCCCTAGCAGTCCATACAAAGCTCTTTGACCACAAGCTCAGTATGAGCCTCAGTGTTAGCTGGGAGAGATATCAGAGGATCTGAATTTAAAGAAAAAAATTTGTTTTAATTGTCACCACAGAACCAGGGTCTGCACCTTAGAAGTCTGGTCTAAACTATCTGAGCAGTTTGGAAAAAAATCTGGGGTTGTAGTGGACCACAAGCTTAGTAGTGTCAGCAGTGGTGTGGCAGCCACAAAAGCCAGTGCAATCTGGGGCTGCATTAAGGAGGGGCAGAACGTCTCGGACCAAGGAGGTGACGGTCCTTCTGGCCTCTGCTCTAGTCAGAGCCCACCTAGAGGATGGCGTCTGGCGCTGGCTGCCGTTGTTTTACAGAGCAATCCTCCGAAGCGGGTACGGAGGCTCAGAGGGTGGCAGGAGGGGCCCTGGGCCACACCGCTATCCTCTGAAAGCCTTTTTGGCCCGTGATGCGCCATTCTCATCCACTCTCTGTCCATCAGCCGTTCCCCTGAATTGTCTGGTAAAATGATGGTAGCGACAGTTCACATTTCTATAGCACTCCGGAAGTGTTTGGGTTCCCATTTTATAGATGGGAACACCGAGGCCCCAGCAAATGTCTGAGCCAGACTTCCTGACTTCAAGGCTCAGTTTTTCCTTCCCTGCACCAGACTCGGGCCTTCTGTGTTTCCCCTCGCTGGCAGGTGGTTCAGAGCCCATGGGAGTGTGTGTGCTGGGGCCTGGTACCTGCAGGGGGCACCATGGGGGAGGGGTCTCTGATGGGCACCTGTGCCTCCCCTCCCCACAGACATCAATGAGTGTGACAACCCGGACGCCTGCAGCCAGATCTGTATCAACTACAAGGGTTACTTCAAGTGCGAATGTCACCCAGGCTATGAGATGGACACGCTCTCCAAGAATTGCAAGGCTGTGGGTGAGGCTCGGGGAGGGGCCAGAGCTGGGGGGGAGGGGCGCACCCACCTCACCCAGAGGCCATCCTGCAGGAGGGATGAGCTTCAGAACAAAGTGGGCGCCGGGCAGGGACGTGGAGGCCGAGGGGGGCCCCGAGGCCAGGAGCCCATCCAGCATCCGTGGGGTCACACACGCACCGGCCCTCGAACCCTGGACCTCAGAGCTGGTGGGCACCTCCAGGAGCCTATTCCTGCACTGCCTTTAGGCAGGCGGAGTATCATTCCCATTTGACAGAGGAGGCAGTTGAGACCCCGAGAGCCAGGGGCACACAGCTGAGGGATGAGCTGGTCCCCAGGCACTGCCTGCTGGCACCCTCTCACCCTGACTTTATTGGCCATCCAGCCCCTTCATTGTACAGCTGGGGAAACTGAGGCCTGGAGAGGAGAAGGGACTTGCCTAAGGTCTCACAAATAGTAAGTGGTGGAGGGAACTCAGGAACTGATACTCTGCCAGCATCATGCAGTGCACACGTATGCACACATGTATGCGCATACACAAGGCACAGGTGTGCACACACAATTATGACAACTGTCTGCACCCAGACGGCTATTTTCCTCTTTCTAAGCCGTTCATATCCACTGTCTCATTTGCTCCTCCCAAGAGCCCAGAGCTAATGCTGGGATGTCCATTTTACAGGTGGGGAAACTGACTCACCCACACCCACCCATTGAGTTAGGGCCAAATGTCAGACTATGTAAACGCATGTAAACAGGGCCTCCCCTGAGCCTGTGGAAGTCGGGGAGCAGGGCTGGAATGGGCCAGGGGCATTGGAAGGGCTAGGAGAGAGGGAGGAAGAAGAGGAGGAGGAGAAGGGAGAAGATGCAAAGGCACTGTGTGTGCACGCACGTGTGTGTAGTCACAGGCATCATGTTGAGGCACACACCAGGGCCCTGGATCTAGCTGCCCACAGGGGCCCTCCCCGAGCCCTGAGATTCTGGGGCCCACAACAGGGCGGCCTTGGGGAAAACCTTCCAGAGACAGTGCCCTGGCCTGTAAGGCTGTGATTGGAGCCTGGGGAGCAGGGGATGAAAGGGGGAAGGGAGAGAGGAATTTGGGTGGGGAATTGAGAACTAAGGAGCAGGTTTCCTTAACCTCCAGTTAGGTGGGGAGAAGTGGGGAGGGGGACTGGGGGCCAAAAGGAGAGGAGGGGGAGATGGGGAGCTGAGGGAGAGAGGCTGGGACATTGGCAGGTGGGGAGCAGGGACGGCAGGGCCTGGGGCAAGCTGAGAGGTCCCCATGGAGGAGGTGGACTGAGGATAATCCGAATCAGAGAGGGAGAGAGAGATGAGGAGAGGAGAGAGAGAGACAGAGAGAAAGAGAGATGAGGAGAGGAGAGAGACAGAGAGAGAGAGAAAGAGAGAGAGAGATGAGAGGAGAGAGACAGAGAAAGAGAGAGATGAGAGGAGAAAGAAGGGGGAGAGAGAGATGAGAAAGAGAGAGATGAGAGGAGAGAGACACAGAGAGATTGAGACAGAGATGAGAGGAGAAAGAAGGGGGAGAGAGAAAGAGAGAGATGAGGAGAGGAGAAAGAAGGGGGAGAGAGAGGAGAGGAGAGAGACAGAGAGAAAGAGATGAGGAGAGGAGAGAGACAGAGAGAGAGAGAGAGAGAGAGATGAGGAGAGGAGAGAGACAGATAAGGAAAGGAGAAAGAAGGGGAGAGAGAGAGATGAGGAGAGACAGAGACAGAGAGATGAGGAGAGAAAGGGGGAGAGAGAGAGGGAGAGAGATGAGAGAGAGATGAGGAGAGAAACAGAGAGACAGAGAGAGATGAGGAGAGGAGAAAGAAGGGGGAGAGAGAGATGAGAGAGAGAAGGAGAGAGAGATGAGGAGAGGAGAAAGAAGGGGGGAGAGAGAGGTGAGAGAGAGAAAGAGAGATGAGAGGAGAGAGACAGAGAGAGAGACAGAGAGAGAGAGATGAGGAGAGACAGAGACAGAGACAGAGAGAGACAGAGAGATGAGGAGAGGAGAAAGAAGGGGGAGAGAGAGAGGTAGAGATGAGGAGAGAAACAGAGACAGAGAGATGAGGAGAGAGAGATGAGAGAAACAGACAGAGAGAGATGAGAGGAGAAAGGAGGGGGGAGAGAGAGAGATGAGAGAGAAAGAAAGAGACACAGAAAGAGAGAGAGAGATGAGGAGAGAGAGATGAGAGAAACAGAGAGAGATTGAGAGAGATGAGGAGAGGAGAAAGAAAGGGGGGAGAAAGAAAGGGGGAGAGATGAGGAGAGAGAGATGAGAGAAACAGAGAGAGAGATTGAGAGAGATGAGGAGAGGAGAAAGAAGGGGGGAGAGAGAGAGATGAGAGAGAGAAAGAAAGAGAGACAGAAAGGGAGAGAGAGAGAAGGGGGGACAAACAGACGGATAGACCATGCCGGGCCCATCTCCCTCTGACCTGTGCCGCGGCCTCCTTGGCAGGTGCCAGCCCCTCCCTGATCTTCACCAACCGCCACGAGGTCCGTAGGATCAACCTGGGCAAGCGGGACTACTCGCCCCTCATCCCCATGCTCAAGAACGTGGTGGCCCTGGACGTGGAGGTGGCCACCAATCGCATCTACTGGTGTGACCTCTTCTACCGCAAGATCTACAGGTGAGCCCCCGCCCCCTTGCGCTGGCTCCATCCCCAGGGCGGGGAAGGGAGCATGCGGCTGGAGGCAGCGGGCCAAGGACCCGCGGGAACAGCCCTTGGAGAGGCAGCGGGGAGGATATGAGCGATGGGGAGCATGAGCACCCCCATTTCACAGATGAAAAGTGGAGGCTCAGAGATGAGTGGGTAACGAGGGTGGTGTTAACATCCCCATTCTTACTGAAGAGATGGAGGCTCAGAAAGCCCAGCCCCAAACAGTCACACAGCTAGGAAACGTCAGGGCCAGGATTAGAACCCAGATCTCCTGATTTCAGTGTCAGCAGTCATTGAAGACTGCGTGTGATGCCAGAAGGCACATTGACACACCTCAGAGATGTGCGATGTCCGGCATCTTGGAGCGTTATCATGACCGGAAGTGCCTGTCCTCTGGTGGCCAGGAGTGTGGTGATCAACTGCCCAAAACCCCTCCAGCGTGGGCCTCGAATGACAGCCACAGTCGATCCCCCGGCCTGCAGTCAGTGACTTTCTGGCTTGGGAGGGTCTGGCAGCCGAGTGTCCTCTGGAGCCTGCTGTCTCCTAGAGGACGGCACCTTATGGACGGATACACACACACACATACACGGCATCTCCATAGTGCTTCTGCACTTCTCAGAGGCCCTTCCATCCTCTAGAGCAGGGGGGTCCGTCTCAGACAGAAGCCCTGCAGACAGACGGACCCCTGTGGGGCACCTGTTGACCTAGAATGTCACGTACTGACATCACCTATGTCCTACTGTATTGTTATTTGTTTTGTTAAATATTTCGCAGGGACCTTTTCATTTGCTGGCCACCCTGGCAAGTGGGCAGCCTGGATGGGCACCATTTTACAGAGAGAATGGGAGATTCTTGAAGGCAGGAGCTGTTTCCCTTTGGGGCTTCATAGCTTCAGCACCTAACACAGTGCCTGGCATGTTGTAGACAACTAATAATTTCTAGGTGGTGCAGTGGGTAGAGTGCCAGGCCTGGAGTCGGGAGGATCTGAGTTCAAATCGAGCCTCAGACACTGGCTGGCTGTGTGACCCTGAGCAGGTCACTTCACCCTGTTTGCCTCAGTTTCCTCATCTGTAAAATGAGCTGGAGAAGGAAATGGCAAAACTGCTTCAGTATCTCTGCCAAGAAAACCCCACATGGGGGCAGCTAGGTGGCTCAGTGGATAGAGCACCGGCCCTGGAGTCAGAAGGACCTGAGTTCAAATCCAGCCTCAGACACATGATACATATTAGCTGTGTGACCCTAGGCAAGTCACTTAACCCCAATTGGCTTAAAAAAAAAAAAAAAGAAAACCCCAAATGGGGCCACAGAGAGTCGGACCCGACTGGACAACAGCGATAAATCCTTGTTGTTTGAGGAGGAAACCGAAGGCCAGAAAAGGGAAGCGGCCTGCTCAGTCACCCAGTTAGCAGATGGCAAAACTGGAATTCCGATCCAGGATGTCTGACCCAAAGCCCAGTGTCCGGTCCATGTCTCTCCCCTCCCACTGCCCCCAACCCCATTCTCTGGGCCTGAGGCTCGGTAGGAGGAGTCCAAAGACCTGAGTTTGAATTCCAGCTCTGCCACTTCCTACCTCTGTGAACACTTGTCGGCCTCAGGGGCCTCTGGTACCTTCCAGCCCAAGACTGTGAGGCCTTAGCGTGACTGGGGCCGTTAGTGTTCTAGATTACCATGAGAGAGGCTCTGCTGCCACCTGGTGGCTGCAACGGGGAATGCATGGGAGAAGGCTAAGACCCCACGCTCTGCTTGTGGGAGTCCCGACTGGCCCCCACGCTGATGGCCACGCTTAGGGTGAAGGTGTTACCAGTGGCCAGGCTGTGGAGTGGCACCCTACGCACATGATCGGACCCCCACGTTAGGGGTCAGTTTCCCAAGGCCATTATGGACATGTGTCTGGACATGGGAGGGTCTCCCCAGAGGCTTTCGTCGCTCCACGGTCAGTGTGGGTCAGCAGCGTGACCAGCAGAGCTGTGGCTATCCTCGGTGGGGAGGCTGCTCTGTCCAGGCTGGCCCAGGTGACCTGTGATGTGCCTCTCCACCCTGGGACCTGGTGATCCCCAAACCCAACAGAGTCACTTAGCGAACATTTACAAAGCCCTGCAGGACTGGGCTCCGGGCGCCGCGGCCCCATGCTGCTCTGACCTTGTCCCAGACCAGCCTTATTCTTTGCCAGTGAGCACTCCTCCTGAGAGCCCTGGAGGGGAAGCTGGGACCTTTAGGCTTGGAAAGTGCTTTCTCCCTAAGAACCCTTTGCAGGGGGCAGTCAGCCAGTCAGCTGGTATTTAGCAAGCCCCTGCTGTGCGCCAGGCACTGGTCTACACTGGCAATCCACAGGGAGGTGGTGCAAGCGTGACTATACCCATTTTATAGACAGGGAGCCTGGGATTCCAGGAAGTTATAGGATGAAGGGATTATAAACCTCAGAGGTCAGCACGTATGACCCCCTCCCTTTACAGAGGAGGAAACAGTCCTGAAGAGGTGAAGGGGCTTGCCTGTGGTTTCACAGCTGGTGTCTGAGACAGGATTCAAACCCAGGCCTTCCTGGCTCCAAATTCAGGTCTCTCTAGCAAAGTGACTTGCCCAAGGTCACACAGCTAATAAGGGTCAGCCAGGATTCAAACTCAGGGCTCCAGACTCCAAGCCCAGGGTGCTTTCTGCAGTCCCGAGTGGCCTCTCTGATCCACTGACATCATCCCCAAGTCACAGTTTCTCCCTCCTCCCCCAGGTGATCCCATGAGTTGTCTGTGTTTTTACCCATAGAAATTATGGCTTTGGTTGCCTCTGGCTGGGAGGAGGCAGAGATACGGAATGGCCATGGTCACGGAGAGCCATCCCGGTGTCTTAGGGAGAATTGAGGTCAGGCCATCCTCCCCACTGGGCTTTCCAGGGGATGATTAGCTCTGGGCCACTTCAATCACCGTCATTCACCAGCACTTTAGAGAACCCATCATTTTATCAGCACGGGCTCCCCATCAGCCATCACCCACAGCAGCAGGGGATTTTGTGGGTTGTTGTAGACAAAATATTTAACTCCTTGTGGCTAAGCCTTGGGCAGTGGGCCTCAGCCAACCTAACAGCCAGCAGCACCTCGGACAGTGGCTCTTCGACTGCACCAGAGGCCTGCCCCTTGTTCTTAGCTGGATCCTAATCCAGGTCACAGCAGCTAGGCGATGCTGTGGACAGAGCTCCTGGAGTCAGTAAGCCCCGAGACCCTTACCAACTGTGTGACCCTGGGCAAGTCATGTCGCCCTGTCTACCTCATCTGGAAAATGATCTGGAGAAGGAGCTGGCACACCACTCCAGTATCCTTGCCAAGAGAACCCTAAAGGGGGTCACGGAGAGTCAGGCAGGACTGAACAACGACAAAGCCGGGTCACGCCCTCTAACCCTTGGGCCCCCTTCCCTTCTCTTTCTGTATTCTTCACTTGGTGTTCTCATCAGCTCCCATGGCTTTAATGACCACCTCTACCCTGACTCTCAGATCTGACCTCCCTGAACCTCTCTGCTGACCTCCGACTGCCTTTCACACATCTCAAACTGGATGTCCAGTAGGCATCTTAAAGTCAGTGTGTCTAAAACTGAGCTCTTACATTTTCCCCAAAGCCCTCCCCGCCCCCACCTCCCCAGTGACTGTGGAGGGCAGCACCCTCCGGCTCACAATGTAGGAGTCATCCTGGATTCCTCGATCGTTCTCACTCCCCCCCTTTCTGATCTGTTGCCAAGGTCAAAGCCTCTGCAACGTCTCTCGAATACACCTCTCTCTCCTCTGCCATGGCCACCAGTGTAGACCCTCATCACCTCATGCCTAGATTATTAATATTTTTAATTATTAATTTTTATTAATTACTAATTAATAATCTGCCGGGGGGGGGGTCTGCCTGCCTGAAGTCTCTCTCCACACCAACCCATCCTCCATTCAGCCACCAAAGTAACCTTCCTGAAGCGACAATCTGACCGCGTCACCCCCTCCCACTCAGCAAACTCCAGTGACTCCCAATCACCTCAACGATCCAATACAAAATGCTTGGTTTGCCATTCAAAGCCCCTCGTAACCTGGCTCTTCCTACCTTTCCTGTCTCCTTATGACTTACTCCCTGACGTGTACTCTTCAGTGCAGTGACCCTCAACCCCTGGCTGTTCCACAAACCAGACCCTGCATTTCCAGACTCCGGGCATTTCCTCTGGCTGTGCCCCCTGCCTGTAATGCTCTCCCTCCCCATCTCTGCCTCCTGCCTTCCCTGGCTTCCTTTAAGTCCCAACCAAAAGCCCAGAAAGCCTTCCCCAAGCCCTCTTAGTCCCGGGGCCTTCCCGCTGTTAATTATTTCCTATTTATCTTGTGCATAGCTTGTTTGTACATTTGTTTGCCTGTCATCTCCCTGTTCAGTTGTAAGCTCCTTGAAGGCAGGAAATGTCTTTTGCCTCGTTTTGCCTCTTCAGTGCTTAGCACAGTGCCGTGTACATAGTAGGTGCTTAATAAATATTTTTGACCGATTTCACAGTGGCTAGAGCTCACAATCTGCTGGGCACAGCCTTTGAGAAGCTAGGGTCACCTCCACATCCCCATGAAACATTCACGCACCACTTTAGTGGGAGAATTAGAGAATTAGGCAGCGAGGTGGCTCGGTAGAGAGAGGCTGGGCCTGGAGTCAGGAAGACCTGAGTTCAAATTTGGCCTCCCATGCTTTCTAACTGTGTGACCCTGGGCACGCCTCTTATCCTCTGCTTGCCTCAGTTCTCATCTGTAAAATGGGGATAATGATAGCATCTACCCCTCAGAGACATTGTGAGAATAAAATGAGATAATATTTATAAAGCACTTAGCATAGCACCTGGCACGTATTAAGCACTTAATAAATCCTTCCTTCTTTTCCTCCCTCCCTCCTCCCTTCCCTTCCTCTCTCCTTCCTTCTTTCCTTCCTTCCTTCCAGGTAGGGCTGTTACATTCTTGTCATCATAGCTCCAGCACCGGGCCCAAAGCCTGGCCCATAGCAGATGCCTAATAAATGCTTGTTAAATTAGATCATCTCCAATAATCACAAGAGCCAACATTTCTGTAGTGATTCTCTAAGCCCAAATTACCTTGTTTAGCCCTCCCAGTCATCCTGTGGGGAAGGTAGCCCATTTACTTACTTAGGATCCCCAGGGATTCAGCCATCCATTCATTAGGCAAATATTCGTTAAACATCTACTAAGTGCCAGGCACTGTGCTAAACACTGGGTACATCAAGACAAAAACAAGATGGTCCCTGCCCTCACAGAGCTTACATTCTACTAGGGGAAAACAACATAGACACAGGAAATTATAGCTAAGAAGTCATTTCAGGGGAGAGGATGGTAGCTACCTGAGGCTACTGGATGTCATGGAAAGAGGGTTGGGTTTGGAAGGAGATGACAGAATTCTGGCCCTTCCATGTGACCATATCTCTCCCCTCCCATGGGCCTCAGTTTCCTTACTATTAAAATGTAAGAGTTGGACTCTGAGAGCCCTTCTAGAAGTGCCCTTGACAGCCTATGAACTGAGGCAATCCACGTAGGCTTCCCGTAGGAGTCAGCGCCTGAGCTGAGCCTCGAAGCCAGGGAGCTCATGAGTCAGAGGTGAGAAATGATAACATCGTAGGCATGGGGTACGGCCTGGACAAAAGTGTGGAGTGCCATAGACCAGGAGAGCGAGAGCCGTGTGCGACTAGGGCCCTGCCCTGGGCTTGTTTGGGCGGCTGCCTGGACCCCCATCTGACTCTCTGCTCCCTCTAGTGCTTTTATCGACAAGGCCAATGATCGCACCGAGCAGGTGGTCCTCATTGACAGCCAGCTGCACTCCCCCGAGGGCCTGGCTGTCGACTGGGTACACAAGCATCTCTACTGGACTGACTCTGGCAACAAAACCATCTCCGTGGCCACCGTGGACGGCGGCCGCAGAAAGACACTCTTCAGCCATGATCTGAGCGAGCCTCGAGCCATCGCTGTGGACCCTCTCCATGGGTGAGTCACGTCTGGGGCAGGGGGAGGCTGGAGACTAGGGGAGAGGAAGGCCTTGGGAAGGGCCAGCCAGGCTCCATCCTGAGCCCGCACCGTGTGGGATGTGTACTCAACACCGGCCTCCCGGCCCACAGGCTTGTTCAGCCCCTAGAAAGTAATGGGATGGGGGTAGAATATTGTAGCACCAGATTTTGTATCAGAAGACCTGGGTTCAAGTCCATCTATGAATTGAAGAAGTTACAAAAAGGCAGGTTTTACCTCAGTCTAAGGAAGAGCTTGCTGAGGACAGAGCTGTCCAAGGATCCCATCGGGAGTGTTGTGGGAAGATTCCCTGATTCAGTGGGAGGTTAAACTAAGTCCCTCCCCTCCTGAGATCTCACGGTCTTGGATTCTTTGCTTAGTACAAGTCTGGAGTATCTGAGTTCTCTTGCCCACTGTGAAGCCCCGAGATAGTATTTATCAAGCACTTAGCCCAGTGCCTGACACATGATAGATACCCTATAGATGCTCATTCCCTTCCCTGCCCCTTTGGCCTTCCTGGTTTTTACTGTGGCATATTAAATGAACGAAAAGATGAATATTTAAGTGCTTACTCTGTGCCGGGCATTGTGCTAAACATTGTTGTGTTTCTCTTCCCTGTCCGGCCCTTCTAGGTTCATGTACTGGTCTGACTGGGGCGACCAGGCCAAGATCGAGAAGTCAGGGCTGAATGGAGTGGACCGGCAGGTGTTAGTTCTGGACAACATCGAATGGCCCAATGGGATTACCCTGGGTGAGTCTAGAGATGACCCAGGCCCTCTCTTTGCCATCACTAGTCTTGGGAAGCCTGTTAAGTACCCCATCATGTCCAGCACAGCTCCGCACCCAGACCTCGTCTTTTCCGGGGTCCACTCTAACACAGACACGCTCAGTAGATAGCCTGACAGCCTGATGGAAGCATTAGCCGAGGCGTGAATGGACCAGACAAAGATGTAGACACAGATACACAGACGTAGAAATAGACATGGACTAACCATATATTTCAGTGCTTTAGAAGATCTGTAACGTCGTCATTAGGAGGCGGCCTAGTACAGCGGAACATTGTGTGTGTGTGTGTGTGCTTTGTGTGGTTCAGATGAAAGAGAGGCCCGTGGAATGCCTATTCCCCCAGCCCTTTCCTCCATGTTTATAAGCTCTTCACATCATATTGTCATTCAGTCCTGTCCAACTTGTGTCCAGCTCTTTGTCCACGACCCCAGTTGGAGTTTTCTTGACAAAGCTACAGAAGCAGCTTTGTGTTGTGTAGAATTAGGCAGCCGGTGGTTCAGTGGATAGAGCATGAGGCCTGAAGTCAGAAGGACTCATCTTCCTGAGTTTGAATCCAGCCTCAGACACTTCCTAGCTGTGTGACCCTGGGCAAGTCACTTCACCCTGTTTGCCTCAGCTTCCTCATCTGTAAAATGAGCTGTAGAAGGAACAGCAAACTAATCCAGTGTCTCTACCAAGAAAACCCCAAATGGGGTCACGAAGAGCCGGACGTGACTGAACAACAAGGTAGCAGAGCTCAGACGCCAGCCTGGGTTTTCTGACTCCAGATTCAGTCTTGTTCCGCCATGCTGCCTGCCTTTCCTCTGGTCCACCACGGCCTGAACAAGATCCCTTTCTCCAGCGTGCTCGGGCCTCTTTCTGAAGACCTCCAGTGGCTGGACCCTGTTGTTTACTAAGGCATCTCATTGTGCTTTCGGACACTTCTGTTGTAAGGAACTTTTTAAAAATTGAATCAGAATTGGCCTCGAAGGCTCCTGCCACACTGCTCTGAATGGCCAGGCCACGGAAAGTCAGAGTGAAAACGCCTTGCCTCATACTGTGCTGTGGGAGGACAGAAGAGGGAGGTTAAAACCCTGGGGCAGAGAACAAAAGGATGGGAGGGAAGGGATGGACCTCTCATCCCTTCAGTGTGGCTGTTGTTAATAATAAAAACAAAACCCACAAAAGCACTGGGGGCCAGGGAGGCAGAGGGGCTTTAAGCCTGGCCTGCCCCAGATCCTCAGGGTCTGCCTAGTTGTGCCGGGCCAGTGGAGCGGGGGAGACACTGGGCTGTCTGTGGAAAGGGAACTTCCTTGGTGCTGATTAGACTTCCATGGTAGACACTCACACACTGGGGTCTTTGGGTACTGGAAGCAGTCTGACGGGCAAAGACCGCTGATCGCCACAACCTCTTGGCGAACCGAAGACCTTCCCCGGCAGAACGGGCGGATGAGAACAATCTGTTCCAGCGGCCAATGAAGGCGGCTGAAGCGGGTACTCTGGAGCACTTAGAGCTTGGTGAGACATCAAAGACGCTAAGGCCATCCTCTGTACCCCGAGCCATCACCGGGCGTCTTGACTTTCGTCCCGTCGCTGGACTCTGATGACTGTGGAAGAGAGAGGGAAGCTGACGACGTAGTGCGGTTCTGCCTCACTTCAGTCCAGTCCACGTCCAAGTCAGGATGTCACCCGTGATGTCACTGGGTCACAAACGAGTGCGGTAGAAAGTGCCAGATTGGAGAGTCCCAGGGCCCGGGTTCAAATCCTTTCTTTTGTGTAGCTCATGAAGTCACATTCCTTCTTTGTTTTCTCCTTTGTCAGAGAAGTGTGAAGTCGCTGGATTTGAGTTCAGGCTTTGCTGCTCAGTAGCTCTGTGACATTGGGCAAGTCGCCTGTCCCCTCTGGACCCCCACTTCTTCTGAAAAATGAGGGAGGCCATGCTACTTTGGGGTGAGATGGGGAGAAAATTCAGAACTAAATCTTGTGGAAATGCATGTTGAAAACTAAAAATAAGTAATTAATTTAAAAATTAGGGGGTAATCTAATAATAATTAATTTAGTGATTAATAATTAATTTAAAAATTAGGGGGTTGAATCAGAGGTCTCTGAAGACCTCATGGCAGTTCGATCACTCTCTGCTCCTATAGGCCCAAACTGGATGGGACAAAATAAGCCATATTCCAGTCAATCCAGGTAGGTTTCTTTGGGAAGGTGTTACTGAAGCATCAACAGTGGCTGGTATTTTATCCCATATTAGGGAATTAGATGAGGAAAATGGACTGCCTGGCCCTCCTTGGACCTAGAGGTAGATCCCCAACCCCATGCTGGTCATTAAGCTTGGGCAAAGCTTTGACTCACACCTTTGCCTTCTGAAGTACTGGCAGGACCCAGTTCTTCCTGTGTGGAGCGCAACAGGCAGATGCCATAGAGCTGATACAGAATGGACTTGAACTGAAGCCACCCAGAAAAGCCTGGCCGTGGCGAGCTCCAGAACCGTGTGCAACGGCTCACGCTCAACCTGGAAACAATAGGGTGGGAGGAGTGCCCTATCTTCTCAAATCATGGTCCCCCAAACCCGCCTGGAAGAGAAGCTAAAGTTCCCAGAAGGCTGCAGGGGGCTGTCTTGGTTCAAGCATTTCTTAAGTGCCGCCTTTGTGCCAGACAAGAGGCAGCCTGGCAAGTGGATGGAGAGGACCTGAGTTCAAGTTTTGCCTCTGAAATATTTTGGCTGGGTGACCCTGGCCGAGGTACTGGAGCTGTCAGTGACCCTAGACCACTCTAAAACTCTTAGGTTAAAGAAAGAGTGCTGGTCTGCATTGGTAGAGGCAACGTCCTCATCAAGAGTTCCCCAGGCCAGTGAAATCATAAGTTCAATCCTTATCTTCTATCTTATGTGCCTAGGCACTGAGCTGGGCCCTGACGATACCAAGACAAAAATGCAGGAGCCCCTGCCCTCAAGGAGTTTATACTCTGCCTGGAGGAGATGCCGTTTACATGTAGGAGTGTGCACAAAATGAATACAAGGAGACATTGTAGTGTAAATTCCAGTAGCCAAAGCCAAGAATAAGCCAAGGGATTGAGTGAGGCAGGACAACACTGGGTGGGTGAGTGGGGCTGCAAGCAGGAGCTCAGGTACACTAAGAATGGGGTAGTTCCAGAGAGGACGAGATGAGATACTGGGGAGAGGACTTTGGGACCAGGCAGGCTGGTCTTTTAACTTCTTTTCATTGAGTGGAAAGTCCCCCGGCCATGCTCTTAGCTGCCCATTTCCTTGACTTTCTTGTTTGTTTCCGCCTGCCATTGGAGCTCAGACCACTTTCCTTCTCCATGTGATAGCCTCCTCTGCTGACCCACAGGAAAGACAATGTCTGGGAGAGCTGGGTCCTCCTGATCAGGATGCCCACTCCCCTGTGCGCCACACCCCCTCTGCCTCCATGGAAACCTCCCACCTTACCCGAATTCCCTCCCTTCCTCTCTGGCCAGATTTGCTGAGCCAGCGTCTCTACTGGGTGGACTCCAAGCTGCATCAGCTCTCCAGCATCGACTTCAGTGGTGGCAACCGGAAGGTCCTTATCTTCTCGGTGGATGCCCTGAGCCATCCCTTTGGGATTGCAGTGTTTGAGGTAAGCCGAACACATCAAATATCAGTACTGGAAGGGACCTTTGAACATGGAATGTCAGAGCTGGGAGGGGCCTGAGAAAAGGGAATGTCAGAGTTGGGAGGGGCCTTAGAACAGGGGATGTCAGGGCTGGGAGGGGCCTTAGAACAGGGGATGTCAGGGCTGGGAGGGGCCTTAGAACAGAGGATGTCAGAGTTGGAAGAGGCCTTAGAACAAGGAGTATCAGAGGGGCATATTTTTAGGACCAAGAAAAGTCCATCTTATATTTTACAGCTTATACTAAGTTTGTGAGATGTAGTGACTGTGAGACTTTCACTGTTCTAAATATCGAGGCACATTTGGCTCGCTCTACCTTGGGCCACAGATACTTGCATCATACGACAGTCAAGCCGTGTTGTGTCTCTTAGAGGGGTCCAGTCTTAGCAGGAAGCAGACTGAGGACACCCTAGAAACAGAGATACAACATGACTTCCCTGTGTAAGGGGAGAGAGGTGGGGAGGGAAGAACACCCCAACATCTGGGAGAGCAGGAAAAGGCCTCATAGAGAAGGACACCTTATTGTGGAGCCTTCAGGGCATCCGGAGCAGAGGGAGGGCAAGGCAGGTCTGGAGGGCAGCCTGCATCGAGCTACAGATTCCAGAGGAGCTTCAGTCCCTCCCAAAGTCTGTGATGACATTGTACGATGCCCTCTGGGAGGTCACGCTCTTTCAGGCTTTAGAAGACAGGCCGGAGACTTGCTGTGGTCAAAGATGTTCCCTACCCGTGTCCATCCCTCTGATGAGGAATCTGACTATGGTCAACTCCGCTGGTCCTAGTTAGACAGGGGGTGCCTCTGTAGATACTATGCCTTAAAGAACCACAAACTACATTTTAATCTGGTTCAGGCTGCACTCAGGAGTTTTGCAGACGCTTGTGAGCCAGCAGCGACGAGTTTGACACCTTTGGCCTCAAAGATCCCCAAAAGACCCTTCCAGCTTTATGTCTCCTGTTCCATATTGTGCCTCAGTAAAGTTGCGTATGCCTGTTTATAATCAGGGGCTGAGCTCTTGAGGCTGGGCTATCTGCCGTGACTCTAACTATCACAGGCACACACTGATGGAGGCCTCAAGGCCTGGTGCTGTTTCACAGGCATGGCCTGGGGCCAGAGTGTGTGTGCTGTTGGCAGAACGGTCCTGTCTTAGCCCAGGATCAGGAAGCAGTGATTCTGCCCTCAGCAAAATGAACCAATTGGAGAATCACAGAATGGAGGAGGGGAGAGGGAGAGATGGTAGAAGTGCTATCAGATCTTCAGACTTAGAAAGGGCTATATCCAGACCATATCATTTGATCCTCAACAGGCCTGTGAGGTAGCACAGTGGGTTTTATTATCCCAGTTTTTACAAAATAATGATTAATTACCTGGCATGATCTCAAGGCCCATCACCACCCCGGCTGCCCTCCTCTACATGTACTCAGATGATCAATGTCCTTCCTAAATATGGCACCCAGAGCTGAACTCGGCATCCCAGATTGGGTCTGCCCAGGGGACAGTGGGACCTATCATTACCTCTCTAGTTCTGGACACAAGGCGTTCATTTTGCCAGCTGCCACATTACCTTGCTTCAGTAGTCATTTTAAATAGAATTTCTCTCTCTCCTTGCTAGGTTTGATTGGTTATGCCCAGAAATGTTGGTCACTTGTGTGGATTTTATTTTATGTCCTGCAAGTTTGATGAAATTATTATTTTAACTAATTTTTAGTTAACTCTTGGGTTTTCTAAGTAGACCTTATATCATCTGCAAAAAGCAATCATTTTGTTTCTTCCACTAACTGAATTTTAAATAATATGTTCTAGAATTTTGCCAGAAATCTTTGCAGATCCTTTTCCTTCTCTTTTTTTGAACCACTTGCCCTCTTCCAATCCTGCTGCACATTTCCTGCCCGCCATGATTGTTCAGATGTCTTGGGCGATATCTCAGCCAATTCTTCTAATCCCTTTTAGGCCTTTTGGCTTGAACCAGATGACTTGGGCTCCTAAAGGGTAACTAGGTGTACTCCCTGCAAGCTCCCTGCCAATCTGGGGTATCGGCTTCCCTTCCGCCGTTTTCCTTTTGTCCTTTCCAGTCCGAAGATTCTCCCCCCGTGGCAGAGAATAATGGAAGAAAGATGACATTTCAGCAGCTCTAGCTTCTCCCCTTAGCTCAGCATCATCATCCATGTTATTATTGTTCTTGGGAGAACGAACAGCCATTTCCTCTGCCGAGAGTCGAACCTGGGCTCTTTGAGAAGACACTCAGATGAGTCACTCATCCCCTGGTGTTCATTGGTCCTTTTTACTGATCTCCTTATTGTCATATTTTTCATTCCTCCAACCTCCTAACACAAAGGTCAAGATTTTTATTCTGAACATATCCCTTTTCCCCTACCCAGGGAGCCATCCTTTGTAATAAAGAATAAAAAGGGGCAGCTAGGTGGTGCAGTGGATAGAGCACTGGCTGTGGATTCAGAAGGACCTGAGTTCAACTCCAGCCTCAGACACATAACACTTACTAGCTGTGTGACCCTGGGCAAGTCACTTAACCCCATTGCCTAGCCAAAAAAAAAGGGGGGGGGAAGGGAAATAATTCAGCAAAATAAATTAACACTCTGTGTTCTCTATTCACCGGTCCCAACTCTGCAACTAAAAAGGGAGAGAATTAAATTTTTCACCTCTTCTTTGGGACAAAACATAGCCATTATAATCACAGCCTTCAGGCTGCCATTTTCTCCATTTACATGACGAGTCATGGCTTTGTTGTTTTCTGGGTTCTTCTTGCTTCGCTTTGCATCAGTTCAGATAAGTCTTCCCATTCATCAACTAGTCTGCCTGCAGGCAGCTCAGTGGCACCATAGTGCACAGAGTGCTCAGCCTGGAGTCAGGAAGACTTGAGTTCAAATCTGGCTCCAGACACTTACTAGCTATGTGACACTGAGCAAGTCACTTCACCGCTGCCTGCCTCAGTTTCCTCATCTGTAAAATGGAGATCACAACAGCACCTATTTCACAGGTAGTTATGAGAATCAAGTGAAATCATGTTTGTGAAGAGCTTAGCACGGTGCCCATCACTTAGTAGGTACTTAAGACGTGCTCGTGTCCTTCCTTCCTTACACCGGTGGTTTCACCCCATCCTAGATCCCAGGCACTTTGCTCATAGCTAGAAGTACATGCAGTGGTCACTGATCCCCCTCCCTCATTTCACAGGACAAAGCTGAGGGCCCAGAGAAGTCCCAAGGTTCACCAAGCATTGATGAAGCACCTCTATGTGCCAGGCACCGTGCTAAGGGCGGGGGGCTATAAAGAAAGGCAGTGAGAGGCTCAGGAGCGCCCAGTCAGATGGAGAGAGTTGGTGGCAGGAGAGAGAGGCTCTTGGGAAGGTCGACACCTCGTCTTCTCTGCCTGTGCCTCATAGGACAAGGTATTCTGGACAGACCTAGAGAATGAAGCCATCTTCAGCGCCAATCGACTGAATGGCCTCGAGATCTCCGTCCTGGCCGAGAACCTCAACAACCCTCACGACATTGTCATCTTCCACGAGCTGAAGCAGCCGAAAGGTAGGCGGTGACTCCCCGGGGGTATGCCCACCCACTCGTGCCACCCTACGCCTTGAGCTCCCCTCCCTGCCCTTCGCACCAGCCCGCTCACCTGGTCAGCCTTGGCTTGGAGTTCGGAAATGGAATGGTTTCCCCTTTAAATTTACGTTAATCTCTCTAGACCTCAGCTAATATCTGCAAGGTGGGCATATGAGCCCTTCCACCACCCATCCTCTGAGCGCCCGAGAGACCCCGTGTCAGGCAGTTTGTAACCAGACAGCCCTACGGAGGTGGGAGAGATATTATAAGGATGCCAGAGCTTCTCTGCCCCAGCAAGGGCTGATCCTTTGAAATCATCCCTGGGAGGCCACGCAGTGATTCTAGGCACATCCTCATAGCTCAGATAACTCTGGTTCCTCTTTGGAAGCAACATTCAGGGCGTGCTTTGAGATCATTCTGGTGGAGTGGTGTTTTGAAGCAGATTTCTGTCCTCCGAAGGTGGGTCTGATGTTTGGAGGCAGTTAAGTCATTGGAGGAATAAGGGGTGGCATGTGAATGTCTCATCTCTGCTCTGTGCTGGAGGGGAACCAGACCAGACCTCTGTGGGGAAAACGAGGGACAGTGGGGGAAGTCTTGCTTGATGTGAGGCAGACGTCGCTAACAGTGAGAACAGTCCCCGAGCAGAATGGGTGGCCTGGATGGGGGGTGGCTTTCCCCTTCTTGGAAGTCTTCATGCAGAGGCTAGGTGCCCATTTGTTGGGGATGGGCTAATGGGAATTCTTTCAAAGTATGGCTTAAGCCAGGCAACCTCCGAGGTCCGGCACAGCTCAGAGCTAGTAACCAGCATTTGTATTGAACTTAGGGTTTGCAAAGTGATGTGACATGCTTTCTTGCATGCGCCTCATTAATGGCCTTGGGAGGCCGGCACTATTATCACCCCCATTTTCCAGATGAGAAAACTGAGGCAGACAGAGGTAAAGTAAGTTGCCATGGGTCGGTCACACAGCTCGTAAGCGCCTGAGGCCAGACTTGAACTCAGTGTTCCTGACTCCAGGCCCAGAGGTCTAATCACTGTACCGAGATTCTGGGATGTTCTGGATTGGCCTAGGGAATGCCGTTTTGCATCAGAAATTAGATGTGACTCAAAAGTAATAAAACATAAACCACAGAACACAAACACTGGAAGAGGCCTTCGGCTGGGAAAACTGAGGCCCTGAGTAGGGAAGGGACCTGCCTACAGTCAGATGTTTTGTTTTGTTTTGTTTTTTGCTGATCTATAGACTCCCTTTCTGGTGAGTTTCCCAAATAATACAATAGTATCTTTTATTTATAAGTGAAGAAAGATCCTTGACCTGGTATCAGGAGAGCCTTTCATTGACTGCAGAATCTTGGGGCGATCACTACCCCAATCTGGGCCTCAGTTTGCTCTTCTCTAAAATGGGGAGGTGAGCCTAGTGGGTATGAAGATGGTCCTTTCAGTGTTAGTCTGTGAAAGAGGAGGATAAGTTTGCCCGGGCTCTCACGGAGTCTGTATCAGAGCCCAGGTGCCCTCCTTTCTAGCCATGGCCAAAGCTGTTAGGCTGGGGTCCCCCTCCACTTTATCTCCAAGTGTCCATTGTAGATTGCGTAGAGGAGGCCAGGACGGTCAAGGGCCTGGAGCCTGTTATATGAGACTCACTTGAAAGAACCTTGGAGGAAAGAAGACTTGGGGCGGGGGTCTCCAAGGACCTGGGGAGGAAGGATCTAATTGTTCTGCCTGGCCCTAGAAGGAAATACTAGGAACAGTTGGGGGGCAGGGGATCTCAAAGAGACCAGCTGAGGTTTGATGTTAGGAAAGAATTGCTACCAAGGAGAGCTCCCCAAAGTGGAGGGCCTTCTTCGAAGTGTGTGGGTCCTCCTCCTGGGAGGTCTTCACCTGAACGGCCACTTGTTGGGCGTGTCATGGTGGGATTCCCTTTGTGTGGGGGTTGGCCTCCCTGGCTTCTGAGCTCCCTAAAAGTCTGTGATTCTGCAGGAATCTGTAGGGTCTCACGATGGAATAGCTGGGACGCTTGTCTCTGGGTTAATTTGGTCACCTCTCTGAGCCCCGATGTCCCCATCTTCTAGATGGGGCTGCCTCAAGGTTCTGTGAGAATATCCAGAGGGGAGGCTTTCCTCCTGCCCCAGGTCCAGTGCCCCCCCCTCCACCTGAGCCTTCATCCTGCTCTCTCCCTTTCTCCTCCTCAGCTCCTGATGCCTGTGAGCAGAGCTCTCAGCCCAACGGCGGCTGTGAATACCTGTGCCTTCCTGCCCCCCAGATCTCCATCCACTCCCCCAAGTATACGTGTGCCTGTCCTGACTCCATGTGGCTGGGCCCTGATATGAAGAGGTGCTATCGAGGTGAGAGCTGCCATGGCAGGCATGGGATCGTTGGCTCCCTCTCTCCCTGTCCCCTCCCCGCTTTGTGCTTCTGATAATTGGTTAGAGCCGGGTGCGAGATATGGAGCTGGGGAATAAGCATTTATTGAGTACTTACTGTGTGCCAGGCCCTTTATAAATATTATCTCATTTGATCAAGTATGCCATAGGGCTAGATAAAGGTAGAACCAGATGGAGCAAGGCCTTGAGTGCCGAGGCAGAGTTTGTATCTTATCCTGGTTAGCACTGGTCATTGGGATGGATGAAGTGAAGTTAATAAAAAGGCATTTATTAAATACCTGTTGTATACCAGCACCTTGGTATCATACAGTCTAGACCTAGGAGGGACTTAGAGGCCCTTGAGCCAAGCTTTGTTAGTTTTCTTTTTCTTTTTTTTTTAATATAAATTTATTTATTTTTAGTTTTCAATATTCACTTCCACAAGTTTTTGAGTTCCAACTTTCTCCCCCCTCCCCCCACCCCAAGATGGCATGCATTCTGAATACCCCTTCCTCTGGTCTGCCTTCTCTTCTATCTCTCCCCCCTCCCTTCTCTTATCCCCTTCCCCTTCTGTTTTCCTGTAGAGCAGGTTAGACTCCTGTACCCCATTTCCTGTCTTATTAGTTTTCTGATAAGGCAAAGCGAGGCCAAGTGACGTGTCTGAGGTGACACAAGTCTGGATTTGAGCCTCGGCTTTCCAAATCGAGAGAAAGCGTTCTTTCTGCTGTACCCCAAGGAGCAGAAGGAACACGGTCCCTGCCCTCAAAGAACTTTCATTCTCGCCAAGGGGGACAGCGCAAGTCAGTGTCAGTCAGGAAGCTCACATTTATTAAGTGCCTACTGTGTACAAGGCTTGGGGTGAACATAATGGAAGGAGTGCCTGGAGAATTAAGGAATAGGGTATGGTTGCTGGAAAAGCCCCTTCCACAAGGGATGGTTCTGCTGGTTTCATCACCGTGACCCCGAGGGGAGGTGGTAGGGGGAATGCGGCAGGGCAGATATCAAGGTGCCAGGGACGGGGAGATGGTATGGGAAGCATGGCCTGGGGCTGGCCCAGTACGGTAAGTTAGGTCAGCTGGCACATTTTTTCATTCGTCCATGTTACAAGCACTTGATCAGCCAGCCAGCACTTACTAGATGCCTACTGTATGCCAGGCCCTGTGTTAGCCCCAAGCTCAGGTCAGCATGGCTGGGCTTAGATTTAGTGATCACCGCAGCCGAGGAGCCTTGAAGCCGGAGCAGGCCAGCTTGGACACTTGACCCTGTCTTCCCTCCACAGCCCCTCCATCTACCTCAACAATGACGTTGGCCTCCACTACCATGAGGACCCCCGGCACAAACCTTCTCACCACCAGCCCCGTCTCCCGCCCAGGCCACACGAGATATCAGGGCTCTGGAGAGGCCTCACAGAGCTCGGGGACGTCCCCTAGCGAGCCCAGCGTCAGCACGTCTTCACCAGGGGTTCCCGCCCCAGGAAACAGCAACCGCTCCCAGCACTGTAAGGATGCCTGTTCTTGCTGCCCTTTTGGGTGGGGAGGGGAGAGGACAGAGCCAGGAGGGGGGTGGGTTACCCTGTCACCTGCGGGACGCCCCACCAGGGCTGGATTTAAATGATGACACAAGGTCCTACCTGAGGGAGAAGGGCAGGGTTGTCCAGTGGGGAGTATCCTGGCCTTGCCATCGGAAGACTTGGGCTGAGGCCCAGCTGGGCCCCATGTGGACGTGACCTCGGGCAAAGCCCATCCCTGCTCTGGGCCCCACTTTGCTCATCTTTAAGTCGGAGATGTCAGACCTCCCACATGAGCCACACAGTCTCCCTGCTGTGACATCCTGGGCTCAGTGGCCTGCCTGGTGATGACATTCTGAATTATTAATAAGAACAGCTCACATTCCCAGAACCTTTAAGGTTTGCCCGCTGCTTATCACAGTATCTCATTGAAACCTCAGAAGGGGGAAGGAAAGGTGGTCTTTATCCTCTTTTTATAGGTGAGTAAATGGGCTCAGAGTTATTAAATGACTTACTTAAAATCACACAGCTAGTAAATGTTTGAGGCAGGATTTGAACCGAGGTCTTCCTGATTCCAAGTCCAATGCTCTTTCATGTCATGCTATGTCTCATGCATTATATGTTCTAAGCTCCCTCCCAGCTCTGACCTTCCCTGTTCTAAGGCCCCTTCCACTGTGACACTCTCTGTTCTAAGGCCCTTTCCAGCTATGACATTCCTTGTTCTAAAGCCCTCTGAGCTTTCCTTTCCTTACCTGCCAATGAAAGCATTCTCCCCGCCTCCACCCCCGGGTGGGGCCGGGAGCTATGGAAGCTCCCCCAACCCTGCCTCCACCTCATGGTGCCTGGCTGGGTTCCTGTAAAAGCCTGCCCCCCAGATAGTCATCCCTATTCCCCCTGTCTGCCCAGGCCTTGGCCAAGCCTCCCAAATGAAAAAAATTTAAGTTCAGAGCTTATTAAAATGTTGGGCACAGTAACTGTCACCGTTAGAAATGTCCTGTCTCATTAACAAGTAAATGTCTTTTTAATTGAGTTACCTGCCGGGAAGAATTCATTTAGAGGGATAAAGTCTCTTGGAAGTCGTTTTCCGCACACCGCCGACCTTGTCTGCAGCTGTAGAGGGAAGGCATGGGAAGGTGGTGGTCTGATGAGGTCCCTTTGGGAACCCCTCCTTCCAGTTCTTCCCTAGATCCTCCTGCTCAGGACCCTTGATGTGGGAGGATTCTGGCAGCCACCATCCCGGGATTTTTAGTGTTCCTTTGGCTTCTGAGACAAATGTAGGAGCCTCCCTCCCCAGGTACACCTCACTGACTGTTTTACATGACGTCGTATGTATAATGGGTATAATATTTCTTACCTTCTCAATGGGTGGGAGAGGGGATTGAGAAAGGGGGAATTTGGAACTAAAATTTTTGAAAATTAATTAAAAAACAATAACAAAAACAAAAAAACTCAGAGCCTGAGTGCACTGCAGGCTTTGTTGTGTTACTCCACACCCTGAAAAGGATGACCATCCCCCTTTCCACAAGAGAGACAGCATGGTATAGGCAGAAGAGCACTGGGGTCATTTGCTGTGTGTCTCTGGGCGAGGCAGTTCCCTCTCTGACCCTTAGTTTCTTTATCTATAAAACTGTAAAATTAGCTGTACCGCCTGCTTCCTTGGGTTGTTGCAGGGATGCACTTCACAGACCTTACTGTGCTGTACACATGAGAGTTGTTAGAGTTGGAGAGGACCTTGTAAGTCATCAGGCCCAGCTCCTTCATTTTGCAGATGAGGAAGCTGAGGCCCAGTGGAGGGGGAAGTGACATTCCCCAAATCACCTAGCCAGCAATCATCAGAGCCAGGATTATGATCGTTATTATAATTATTTCAATTTCAAGAGATGTAGGCTCTTTTGAGAGCATATCCATCTTTTTCTGGCCTGTCCTTGCCAGGTTTGGGAATCAGAGCCATATTTGCTTCCTAGATACGATGAAATAAAGTAGCTTCTTTTTCTATTTTTGAGAAAATTATATAATATAGGGATTTATTCTTTTAGTTTTCCATCGAATTCTTTTGTAAAAAATGCACGATGACTTGGTATGTGGCTATTCCTTAGTAGCTTGTTCAGTTTCTCCTGAGATCAGTTTGTCTGTTTCTTGCCTTGTTAATTTGAGTGTTTCATGTTTTTGTAAATGCTTATTTTTTTTTGTTTTCTATAAATTTGTTCTCTATATTTTATATGCTCTTTCTTTTGCTGGCATTTTTTTTTGTATGAAGCCATAATTCAGTTGCTGGAGGAAAGTCCACCAATGTAGATCACAGAAATTATCTGTGATTTATAGTCTAAGAGTGATGCTGGTGGCATTAAGGGTACAAGTGACTTGCCCAGGGCCACGCAGCCAGAATATGTCAAAGATGAGTCTTTAACCCAGGTCTAACCGATTCCAAGGCTGGCTCGGTAGCCCCCTTACCCGTTTTCTTTCTTTCTTGGGTTTTCTTCAAGATCCTGCCCTGTCTTTCTGGTTCTGGTCATTGGATTCTCCTCTTGCTTTTGAGGGAATTTGCTAATGGTTTGTTGATCTCATTGGCCTTTTCCATGATTGATTTTTGTTTTTCTTCGTCAATCCAATTAGTCTTTTAATTTTTGTCCATTGATTTTGCCTTTTCCTGTAATGGTTTCCTGTTTGGTATTTGTTATCGTGTGTTACTTTGTTCCTTTTCTAATTTATTTAATGGCTAACTCCACTCATAAATATTCTCTCCCTTTCTGGTTTAATAAGTGTGGAGAATGGAAATTTGCCTCTGAGCACTGCTTTGGCTACATCCCTTAAATTTGAATAGGTAGTATTTATGTTGTCATTATCTTTAATATTATCTATTGTTGTTTGCATAATTTGTTAACTCAGGAATTATTCAACAAATCACTTTTTTTCAGTTTGCATACAAGCCAGAATTTTTGAGAGCAATTTCCTTGTTAATTACTATCTTTATTGCTTTGTAATCTATGAACGATGTTTAAAATTTCTGCCCTTTCGAGTTTAAAATGCACAGAACAGAGCCTCTATTAATGCATACTGTGACCCTTTTCGTGGCTGAGTCAATGGTTTCATGAACTGTTGTAGCTTAAAATACAAGTTCCCTTGGGTCCCAGAGTCGTGGTGATGAGCCCCTTGGTGCCCAGCAAGGCTGGTCTTGGGCAGCAGACCCCATCATTCATTCATAGCCTCTCCAATCTGGTAAGACCTGCCTGCTTTGGGGTTGCAAAAGCAGAGCCTTGAAGATTCCAGGGTCACTCCCAGAACAGGAGAAGGCACTGGAGGGAAGCTCGGGTGTAGACCCTTCTCAAGGCTCTTCTTATAGGCCCAACGAGCCATCTCTACTCTATAATCCCTGTAGACAGCCTGCCTTCTCTCCTCCCTCCTCCTCGCACTCTGCCTGTAGTGTTTTCTCTCTCTCTCTCTCTCTCTCTCTCTCTCTCTCTCTCTCTCTCTCTCTCTCTCTCTCTCTCTTCTCTCTCTCTCTCTCCCCCCCTTCCCCTCTCCCTCTCCCCCTCTCTCTCTCACTGGGAGTGAGCTGCTCATCTTTTTAAATTCCTTCTTCTGGGAGTGAGGTTTCCATGAAGTCTGAGTCAAGCTTGTATCCCTGAAGCCTGTTGGCTTGAAATGGGACCTTCTTTGGGGCTGTCTGTTGGGGAGCTGACTTTGATATGGAAAATGGACAAAGCAGCTTTTGAGATAAAGAACCAGGCTCTTCTCTGAAAAAACAATATAGAGATACCTCAAGTGTGAGAGTTGAGGGGTAAACCTATATAAACCAGAGAATGTATGTAGGCTTCTAGATCCAGAGCAGGAAAGGCCAACTAGTCTGACCCCTCCTCATTTTCCATGTGAGGTAACTGACTTGTCCAAGGTCACACGTCAGAGGCAGGATTCAAACCCAGGTCCTCTTGCTCTCAAACCAGAGTATCATGAGGTTGACAAAATGGACACTCCCACCAAGAGCTCATTCAGTATGAGTGCCATGTGTGAAGAACGTCACAACAACCTAGGGCAGCTAGGTGGTGCCATAGTGCATAGAGCTCCAGGCCCAAAGTTAGGAAGACGTGAGTTCAAATTGGGCCTCAGACACTTACTAGCTGTGTGACCTAAGGGTTGGGCAGATGGCGTCTATGGTCCCTCCGGTCCCAAGTCAGCCATCTTTCCTCCTTTCTGCCACTTTGAAGTGGGGATGTAGACTTGGACTGGGGCAGTGCTCTGCCAGGGTTTACTAAGTCAATGCGTTTCTACATCTTGCAGATGGGACCATGGGTGGCAAGCTGGTCTCCACAGCCACAGCTGCCATCATCGGCATCATTGTCCCTGTGGGTGAGTGGGGCCCCCTGAATCCTCTTTGATTTGGGGAAGGAGGAAAAAGCCATTATCTCTGGGCCTGAGCAGGGAGGAAGACGTGGAGAAATGGCCCCATGGAAGACTTCCTTCTCCTTGCCCATCTTCTCTTCCACTTTATCCTCGATGAGCTGGGCAGTGTGCTGGGCTCTCCCTAGTGCTGCAGAGAGCCCAGTTACCATTGGACGGGCCTTCTGCTCCACATGGGTATGGAGACTTGGGTCATAGGTGAGACCTGTCCCTGAAATGAGAAGGAAAAGTGGTAATGAGGAGCCTCTTGCCCCCAAACCCACGCAATCCTAGCTGCATGAATAGAAATCTGGATTAAGACTTCAGAAGGAAATGCTGATGTTTTCTGGCATAGACCCCATCCAGAGGACCGTGTCCGGCTCTGGCTGCCACAGGAGGGACTCGGGCAGAGCCTGAGAGTATCCAGAGAAGGCAGTCTGGGACAGGGAGAGAAAAACCAGGATAATGAGGTTGAGGGTCTTAGGAAGCAGAGCACTGAGGAGCCCCCAAAAGTCTGTGAGCAGAGTGTCTTCAACAGACTTCTGCCCTAAGAAAGGAGGTCTTTGGGGGATGGCTAGGAAAGAAGAAAGACTTGAGACAGGGAGGCCAATTAGATTGTTAGTCAGTAAGCATTTATTAAGTACCTACTATGTGCCAGGCACTGTGCTAAGTGCTGGGGATACAAAAAGAGGCAAAGGACAGTCCCTGCCCTCAGGGAGCTTACAGTCTATCGGGGGAGACAACATGCAAGAAATATATACAAACAAGCTATAGACAGGATAAACAGGAAATAAATAATCCACTCGTGTTAAGAGGGATTGGGAAAGGCTTCCTGTAGAAGGTGGGATTTTTGCTGGGATTTGTAGGGACAAGAAAGTCTCCAAGTCAGGAGACGGTGTGTCTTGTTGGAGAAATGAGATCGGTGTGTGTGTCTGAGAGAGAGGGAGATCATGTGAGTTAGTGTGTGTGTGTGTGTAAGGAGACTGGAAAGGTTGTGGGAGGGGGAGGGGGCGGCGCTAGGGCTTTGATCACCAAATAGGACTTTTTAATTTGGTCCCTGAGGTGATAGGAGCCCCTGGAGTTTGTGGAATAAGGGATAACAAGGGGAGGCCTGTGCTTTGACAGCTGAGTAGAGGCTAGACTGGAGTGGGGGGAGCCTGGTGGCCGGCAGACCCACCGGCAGCTTTTTCAGTGTTAGGTGATGAGGACCTGAGCCCTGGGGGATGGGGAGGAGGGGTGGCAGAAGAGACAAGGGGGAGCACTTTAGAGATGTTACAAAGGTGGAATGAGAGGATTTGACAACAGATCAGCTATGGGGTGGGCAGGTGGGAGAGAGAGTGTAAAGGTTGGCACTGCGGTCAAGTGACAGGGGGCAAGGGTGAGTTTAGTTTGGGGGGGATGATGATGGTTTGGTTTGGACATCTTGACTCTGAGATTCCAAAGGGCCTCCACCTATACGGGGAGAGATACCCTGAAAGGAGCTGACGAGGCTTTGCCCCGGAGAACAGAGTTAGGAGACATAAGGGGAAGTCCTAGAGAGGTAAATTTCAACTCAGCCTAAGGAAAGACATCTTACAGCCTGGAGCTGTCCCATTATGGGACAGGCGCCTCTCGGGGAATGTTGTGGGGTCTGAGGTCTCTTCTGGGTCTAGAAAGCTCTGACCTGGGGGCCGAGGTGGGAGCGCTTCATAGTGCCTGGGCTGAAGCGTCCTCTCTCTCCACCCACCGCACACACAGGGGTCATCGCCTTGCTAGGCATGAGTGGCTACCTGATCTGGAGGAACTGGAAGAGGAAGAACACAAAAAGCATGAACTTTGACAACCCCGTGTACAGGAAGACAACGGAGGAGGAAGATGAGGATGAGATCCACATCGGGAGGACGGCACAGATTGGGCACGTCTACCCTGCAGTGAGTGTTCTGGGGAGCAATGGCGGAGGGAGGCTCTTCTCTCATAGGCCCAGCATGCTGCCCCCCTTTCCCTCTGCCCTTACACCTCTCTTCCTTCCCCGTCTCTTTCCCTGTCTCTCTTCCTCCTTCCTTCTCTCTCTCCCTCTCTTCCTCCTCTTTCTCCTTCCTCTTCTCTCCCTCCTCCCCTTCTCTCACTCTCTCCTCTCCCTTTTCCCTCTTTTTTTCCTTTTTCTTCTCCCTCTTTCTCTTCTCTCTTCTGCCTCTCCCTTTTCCCTCCTTCTCACTCTCCTTCCCTTTGCCCCGCCTTCTATTCTTCCTTCTGTTCCTTCCTCTCTTCTATCTTCCCCTTCCTCTCGGACTCCCTTCCTCCCATTCTCTCCCTCTCTTCCTCCATCCCTGTCTCACCCCTTTCTACTTCTCAATGACTCTGATTATTAGGGAGTTTTTCCATATCACAGAATCACCAAATTTGAGAATTGAAAGGGATGTCAGTGGCCCCCTAGTCCAAGCCAGACCGCAAAAGAATCCCCATGGTAGCATGAATGAATGAATGAAAAAACATTTATTACATGCTTACTGTGTGCTGGGGTGCAAACAGAAAAGGCCAGTGGTCCCTGTTCTCAAGGAGACACACGTATGGGAGGTTTCAGCTGCAAGTCAGATGGAAAGACCCCATGGTCCTCAGGCAAGCAGGTGGTCCAACCCCTTCTTTATTATCACTTCCATGAATGAACCCACCTCCATGTCTGAGATGGGATCATTTGAAAGTGCGCAGGACTTTGGTGATTTTCAGTAGCTGTGTCTGCCGAGGGCCCTGGGGGCTTTGGCCCCAAAAGAAGCAGCACTGCTATGTGTGTCTTTCTCCCCAAACTTTGCTTCCCTGGGCTGTTGGACTATAGAGCTTCTGCTTGAAGCCCTTGTGGGAGTGGGAGCCCAGCACCTCTTGAGGCGGCCCAGGCCTCTTTGGGACAGCAGTCATTGCTAGGGAGTGTTTCCTACCATCCAGCCTCAGCTGGCCTCTTAACAACTCTCCCCATACTCTTCCTGGTTCTGCCCTTCGGGACCATACAGAAGACTCATTCTTCTTTCACGTGCCAGGCATCTGAGAGAGGTACTTGGACTCAGCGGAGTATCTTTCCTGAGTCTTTTCTCCTCTGTGCCCGGCATCCCCAGTTCTCTCAGCCCGTCTGAGCTGATGTACATCATCGCCGGTTCTTGGGTGCCCCCAGTTACCCTCTTTTTGTCAAACTTGAGTTTGACTGATACTGATTACATTGGGGTTTTGGCCACCATGTTAAGTATTGACTCCTATTGAACAATCCACTAAAATCCCTAGATTTTTTTTCCCCACATATTTGTCTAGGCAAATCTCCCCCAATTTGTATCTATGAGTTTATTTTTAACCCAAGTATAGAATTTTAAATTTTTACTGCTAATAATTTTATCTTATTAGAATTTGACCCATTATTAAAATTTTTATTATTTAGCTTAACAACCACCACCAGACACCCCGGTGTATCAATTTATTTTGCTTGCCTATACCTATTGTTTGGTTTGGACATCTACGAGGGAGGGGATTTTAATTCAGCCCACGCTTTAACCTATTGAGAACTGCCTCTGTTGACCACCATGTAACCATCCCTCCCAACTCTGTGCCTTCTGTAGAACTGGCCTCCTGTGGCCTTATTAAAGTCATCCATAAAAACATTGACCGTCACCAGGCCAAGGTCAGATCCCTGGGGCATTCCGCCAGAGACCTCTCCGCACCAAAGTGATATTAACCCATTAATGATCACATTTAGGTCCTATCACTCAACCGTGTCCAAAGTCACCTAAATATAAAACATAAGGATGGTGTGAGCCCAGATGTAAGTAACTGTATCTCTTGTCATGTCCCTGGTTTGCATATCTAAGCCCCTAGTCTGATGTGACTCGCTCCTGGCCTCTGAGTCTTGGGGCAGGGCATTTCCCACTCCTAGGGCTCAGTGTCTTCCTCTGCGAAATGAGAGGGTCACACGAGTGAGGATAGAGTGAGGATAGAGTGAGGATGCTGCGATCCTATGGGGAAGGACACGGTCTTCCTCAGGAAGACAGCGTCTGTCTGCTCTCACTCTACTTTGGTCTGTATCCCCAGCGTGTGGCTTTAAGCCTAGAAGATGACGGGTTGCCCTGAGGATGAGCACCCCTCTGTGCCTGATGGGATCAAACATGTGCACTGGACTCTTTCTCGACACTGGATGGACGGACGGACGGATGCATCTCTTTGCCTGGGGTTTTGCGTGTGTGTGTGTGTGTGAACAAGGGAGTGAGGGTGCGTGTCTGCATGTGTGCTTGGGATTCTTTTTAAAAATTTATGTTGCAGAAAGGTAACCACAAAGTTATAATGAACTGCAGACATCCAAAGGATGTGAGAGTTTTGTATGTATAATGTTTTATACGCATCTTACCTGGCTGCACTACCCGTAAGGAAGAGCCGAGCAGCCCCTGCTGAGCAACTAACGTGATGGATGGAACCAGACCCGGCCCGGCAGGACAGGAGCTGGCTTACCATTTTAAAATTATATTTATAGAGGGTGTTTAGGGGGGTTTTGTAAATAAAATGAAGATGCTTTGTGGCTATCCATCAACATAAGTTAAAAAAAAATGATGAGCCTCTCCATGTCCTCCCCACTCCCCAACACCCCATCTAGAATATTTATTAACATATTTCACAGAAAAGAGCTGTAAATAATTTAGAGAGGTGAGAGTATTTATTTTGGGGTGTGCTTGGCTTGCTGTGTATAGACTATGTGGGGGCAGTCAGAAGGAATGGATCTCTATGGACATTGAACTTTGAAATACAGACAGTCCAGCTACAAAGCCCCAAGGCCATGTCACTCAATGAGGAGGGCCCAGGATGGCTTTGGAGGTGGTCGTGGAGATGAGGCCGAAGGCACCGAGTAGGTCCGACGACGGAGAGGGGAGCAGGAGGGTCTTCTTCATTTCTGCTCCATCTCCAGAAGGCAGCGTGGGCCGGAGCTCCGTCACCGGTGGACAAGACAATACCATGGCGAACCTTTCTTGGGCTGGGCTTCTCTTCCTAGGGTCAGTGTGCTCGCTTTGTGTAATGTGGGGGAAATACCTGTAGGCCCACAGAGCTAAAGCCTGAGGGGTCTTGGTTTCTGCATCTGTAAAACAAGGGTTTGGTTAGAGGTTTAATTAGATCATCTCTTAGGTCTCTCCTGGCCCTGATTTTGTGTCCCAAGGACCCTCCCAGCCCTGATATTCCCTGTCTAAGCCTCTTCTCAGCTCTGACATTCCCTGTTCTAAGGCCCCTCCCAGCTGTGACATCCCTTGTTCTAAGGCCCTTCCAGCTCTAACATTCTATGCTCTGAATTCTGTTTTCCTTCCCAAAGTCCCTTGCACCCTTGACATTACGTTTTACCATTCTGAGACGCTGTCCCACACTGCCCCTCTGTGCATCTCTGATTCTGCTCCTCGGTTAGCAGGGTCGGCGATCCTGTCTGACCTCTTTATCATCTCTTTCCAGGCCCTTGTTCAGCTGATCACGTTGTTATTTCCACTTTCATAGAGGAGGAAACCTGGCAGCAATCTGTTGAGAATCGGACAGCCAGTCAATCGACAGGTGCTGTCCAGTCACTGGCCATACAAATACAAAGAGAGACAGCCCTGCCCTCAGAGGGCTTCCATTCTAGTCAGTCTCAGAGCAGGGGTTAGGTTGGGTCACTGCCTCGTCCATCAGGCCCCGGAGCCCCCGCGGGCCAGAGGCCTTGTGTGGCAGGCTCCGTCCACCGGCCCTGATCATCCTGGGGTCTTTTGGAGCCCAGGAGAGGACCCAGTCCTCCAGTGGGGCTGGGGTGGGGCAGGGTGCAGCTGAAGGAGAGAACCGAGGATCTGTGGGAGCTCCTGACCCTTCAGGGGCAGACAGCAGCCACTGGAGATCAGGAAGGACTGGGGTTTGAACCCTGCTGCCCGTGCTCCGTGTGAGCCTCAGTACCCTCGCTGTGAAATGAGGAGAGGGGCCGACAAGTCAGTCTCTGTCTAGCTCTAGTGTGAAGGGCATACATTTAGGGCCAGGAGGCATCTCAGAGACCTAGTCCAACTTTATCATTTTACAGAGAAGGAAACTGAGGCCCCGAGGACAGGTTAAGTGACTTACACATAAGACCACAGATCCAGAAGCAGTAGAGAAGCAAGCCCTCTTCTCAAGGATCTGGTAGAGTGAGAGAATGCTTGAGGACCTGGGTTCAAATCCAGCTTTAAAACTTAGCATGGTGCCTGGCACGTAGTAGGTGCCTTCCCTTCCTTACTAGCCGTGTGACCTTGGACAAGCCAGTCTCCCTCTCTGAGCCTCAGTTTCCTCTAGTGTGGCGGTAACACATAGACCTCCTTTCCTCCTGGGGTGATGTGGGGCTCAGTGAGCGCCTTTGCACACCTTGAAACACTCTAAAGTGGTCAGCCATTATTTCCTAGATGGAGGAACTGGGGCACAGATGAAGCGGCATGCCCATGGCTGTACAGCTCATACAGCTGAGACTCAAACCCAAGGATTACGTTGGTATGGGGGATTCCCAGGGGAGGGAACTCCCTCTGCCAGTGAAGGTCAGCACCTTCCGTTCAGTTTTATTGCCTTAGGGAGTGGCCAGGCTGTGTCAGAGCAGTATTTGAACCCTGGCCTTTCCTGGTTCCAAAGGTGTCTACCCCACTACTCTGATGCCTCTCCAAACCCAGGATTTCTGGCTTCTAATCTGTCTCTGTTTCTTCCACACCATGGCAGCAATGAGAATACCAGGAGCGTAGGCTTGACCCATGGGCACTGGCTTCTCATCTTTTCCTTTCTGCCCTTTTTTTGGGGGGGTGGGGGGAAGAGAGAAAAAATGGTTCCTTCCCCTAATCTAGTTCAGAGTGAAGAAACTCCTTTCTGGTCCTTATCAAGAGAGACAAAAGAGGTTATAACCACAGTCGAGATAATTTCTGAGAAACAAATAAATGGCAGATTGTTTATTCTCAGGTCTCAGATATCCGTGCATGTGGACATGTGTGGATTACAGTTTCATAAGTAAGAGGGGCAAGTCTGAATTTCTATGTCTGCATACATGCACATGTGTGCACACGGTATAGGTCACTTTCTCTGTGGAAGCCCCTCGTAGCCCATGGGGGATTATTACTCTCTTTGTGAGGTCTGTCATCACATAGCCCCTTTACTGCCCTGCCAGTGGTAGGGATTAAGCCTCTGTCTCCAGTTCTCCGCTGGGACAGACTTTTCTTGACTCTTTCCCCACTGAGCTCCTGCTCCTGCTCACACTTGTCACCCACTGAACCCATTGACCACGGCAGGACTGGGATCGATAATTGGCACCATACCTTCATATACCTGAGAAAGGACGCTGCCAGGCAGCAGTGGTCCTAGATTGTCCTGCAGCAAGGCTTGATGAGCCTAGAACATCCAGCCATGTTGTTCCACGATGGGCCTAGAACCTTCCTCTGTGTACCATGCATTTACCATCTTGGCTTTGGGACAGAAACGCAAAGGTTTGCAGTTAGCAAGAGGGAGACTTGGCACCTATATAGGACAATTAGAATTCCTTTATAACATACACACTACTTGAATCTGCCCTTTATCACCAGCAAAATATCCAAGGTCAGTAGTGAAAAAGGAAAGACAGTGAGCTTCCGTGGTATACTTTAGAACCTGAAAGTTCTTCTAATCCAGCCCCTTCATTTGACTCAAGAGGAAAAGGAGGAGCCCCATAGGTGGCAACAACCCTCAATTTTAGAGGGCCTGGGTCTGAATCCTGCTCTTGCAGGTTTTCTGATCCTCAAGGAGTCACTCTCTGAACTTCAGTCTCCTTGTCTGTGCTTTAAGGTGGTCCCCTCTAGCCCAAGTCCTAGGCTCTTACGTATTCTCAATTCTGTCCCTTCCCCAACTTCCTTAGGAAGACTGCACCAACCTCCTCTGGGTGACGTCAGCCCTTCCGTTCCCTTAGAGATCCATGACTTTATTGGGGATCTTGGGTGATATCTGACCTCCCAAACATGATGCCAGCTGAGACGGGAAATCAGGAAAGGAGAGGAGATTGAAATTTATGGTGATTTGGCCGAAAAAAGCCAGACTAGTCATCAAATGGTCCTATTTCTCTCTATCCTCCTCTTCCAGCATACAGGATAAGCACTTTTTGCCCTTTTACATTCAGGGTGCCAGCTCAAATTGTAACCCCAACACTGGGTGGGTGGGATCTTACATTTGGTTTTGTAGACCTCCTAGTGTCTGCCAAAAGACAGAAGCATGACGGAAAGACCTCTGAAATTGGAAGACCTGGGTTCAAATCCCTTTGGTGCTTGGTGTCTGTGTGATCACGAGAATGCCATTTCAGCTCCTTGGGCCTCCTCACTTTCCTAATCTATAAAATGAGAGATTTGGACACGGTGACTCTTGAGGCATCTGCTAGCCATGTTCTATCCCCAGTGCTTTGTAGACGTCTTAGATGGTGTTCTGTCCGGAGCAATGTCCGTCCCAACCTACCACTGAGTAGACATCCTAGTGCTGTCATCTCCCGTGCTTTGTGGACATCCCAGTGTTCAATCGAGAGCTATGTGCACACCTTTGGGGAGGTCCTTACCACATTTCACATTCATAAATCCAAATTCTTTGACATAGACAAGAACAGTTCAAGTGAATGGACAAGGGTATGTGTGTGTGTGGGGGGGTCTTTCATGTCAATGTTGTAAATGTCCCCCTGGAATTCTTGAGTATAAAGAAGAAAATGGGGGATCTGTAGCATCATCTGGAGATAGAACCCAATCATTGTATTCCATGAAGATCAGTGAACCCACCATCCTCTTACAACATAGCAATGAGTTAGCCATAATAAGAGAGTTCCCAGAGTAAACCATCCCTTTCCCCCATCAATGCATGAAGGTAGAGTATCTGAAGTAAGGTATTCATTGTATTTTTAGACTTGGGGTCCTTTGGGGGGTCAGAGGACCTCCAAAGAGGGGACAGACCTGCTTTGGATTTCCCATCCTTGTCCTAAATCAAGGAAGCCCTCTGTCCTCTGAGGCCATTCACCATGTGCATGGCCCAGGATCAGCAGGAAACCGTGTTTGTACCCATCATTTGACATCAAAAAGAAAAAAAAAACCACCTGTAAATATGTTTGGAGATGGGAAGGTTTTGATATTTTTTTTTACAAAAAAAAAAAAGACAACAGAAAACACAAATCTGTACAGACGTGTTTTATGAAACAAAAAAATAAATTTTGTTTCCTTCAAATTGTTGTAAATTTCATGCCTGGTCCTGGTTTGAAAACACCATTATCTTGCAAAAAAACCCAACAAACATCACAAGTCATAGGACAAAAATAGCATTTTTGTTGTGCTGGGTTTTTTTTTCTTGCTTTTCTTTAAAAAAAAAAATGATCCCAGAATTGACCATCCTGTCAGGCTATGTTAGAATGTTTTTTAACACTAATTGTTTCTGCCCCCCTCCTCGGGTTGCCGCCAGCTCTGTTCACATCCCTGCTCAGTGCCTTTTCTGTTTCAGTTTCTAGCTCATGGGCTGAGGGACTGAGGAGGGGTGGGGGAATCTGCTGCATTTCTTTTGGACTGACATAGATGTGGGGGAACTGAAAACCAAATGAGGTCATTTGTAAAACAGTGCACTGTTTCTACAATCAGATTAAACTCATTTTTTTTTAATCTGGGAGAATTGTGCCATTGTGGTCTTTTAATAAGGCATGTGCAGTACTAGTCTACCAGGAGACATTTATTAAGCGCCTACTACGTGCCAGGCACTACGCTAAGCACCAGAGATACAGAGCCAACAATGAAACAGGTCCTGCCTTCAAGGAGCTTACATTCTACTGGGAGAGACTTTATAAACACCCACAAGTAGCTACTGAAAAATACAAGGTAATGGCAGGGAGTGGTTATAACCTGGGGTCTGTGAGCCAACCCATGGATAGATTTCAATTTCAGGGAGTCTGAACTTGGACTGGGGTGTGGAGGGGGAATTACATCTTTGTTTTCACCAACTTTTGGTTTCCTTTTTACTTTATGTATTTAAAATGTGTATTTTAAATTATGTATTTAAATTAAATACATAAAATTATGTATTCCTCTATATTTTATTTTATGTATTTAAAAACATGATTTTGAGAAGGGGTCCATAGATTTCACTAGACTGACCCCAAAGTGAGGCAGGAACAGAAACGGCTAAGAACCCTTGGGCTACTACACGTGGGAATCAGTAAGGGCTTATTTTGTATATCGACAACCCCAGGGCCTTTAGTATTTTATATATTATTGACTCATGGAATCATGGATTTAGCTCAGCCCAGTCCCCTCACTTGACAGATGAGGACACTGAGCCCCTGTGCAGAATTGCTGAGCTGGGATGGAATTTGAACCCAGTACTTCCTGGCTGTAAAGCCAGCACCCTCTCTGACCACTCATAGTCTGAGGATCTCAGCATTGAAAGGGACCACGGTGGTCATCCATCCTCTGCCTGAAGACCTCCAAGGCAGGGAGCTCATTCATTTAGGCAGCACCTCCCATCTTTGGACAGCGCCACTTGCTTCAATCTGCTGCCTCGAGTTTCTCCTAGTTCTGGGGCCAAGCAGGGCAAGCATAGTCCCTCTATTGAATGATAGCCATTCAAGTAATTGAAGATAGCTATCCTACGTTTTTCCTCCCACCCCACCCTCCAGCCTTCTCTCCTCCAGGCTAAGCATCAAGCCACGTATGACCCAGACCTTCCTCATGTTCGCTGACCTCTGGACACTCCAGTCTGTCCAGGGCCTTTCTAAAATGTGACGCTCAAAACTAGACAGTACTTGAGATGGGGTTGACTAGGGCAGACTTGTTGTTCAGTCATTTCAGTTGTGTCTGAGTCTTTGTCAAGAAAACACCAAAAGGGGTCACAAAGATACTGACGTAGTTTGCCGTTTCCTTCTCTAGCTCATTAATAGATGAGGAAACTGAGGCAAACGGGGTTAAATGACTTGCCCAGGGTCACACAGCTAGTAAATGTCTAAGCCTGGATTTGAAATCAGGTCTTCCTGAATCCTGGCCTGTCGCTCTATTCACTGCACCACTGGAAGAACTACTGCCTCACTCCTGGAGGCTATGCTTCTCTTCATGCAGCCCCCAAACATCTGTTATGCTATGTCTCACTGTTGAGCCATAATGAGCTTGTAGTGCACCAAAAACTCCAAATTGTTTTCAGATAACTTACATTATTCCTTCCATCTCCATCTTGTACGGTTGACTCCTTGAACCTAAAGATAGGACTTTACATTTGGAGACAGTATGGGAAGGGGTTAGAATCAGAGGAACCAGGTTTGAATTCTGGCTCTGTCACTTGTGTGACCTTGGACAAGTCACTTAATCTCGTTGAAGCCGTTTTCTGTTCTGCGAAATGAGGAGTTTAAACAAAGGGTTTTAAACAAAATGGCCTCTTGTGTCCTTTCCAGCTCTAAACCTATGGTCCCAAGTTATTTTGCCTCTTTGGTCCTCAGTTCTCTCATTTGCAAAGTGAGGTGGTTCAACTAGATGGACTCCAGCTCTAAATCTATGACCCTGTAATTTGTCTCCATCACATTTCACCTTCTTAGAGCTGGTCTAGTTTTAGTCAATAGTCAAACATTTATTAGGCACCTACTCTGTGCAGGCACCATGCTGTTAAAAGATCTTGACTATTTGGGGATCCCGTCATCCAGTGGGTCAGCTGTCCTTCCCAGCTTGGTGACATCTGCAGATTGGAGGAGGGTGCCATGTCTGCCTTTCTCTGAGTCACTGAGAAGTATGTAAATAGCAAAACATCGACTGTGTGCACAGGGATGTGATAGTTGTTGGAAGGAGGAAAGTTTAGATAACACACAGTCCTTGGAGCTTAGAGTCTGGAAGAATATCAAGAAAAATACTAATAGCAATACTATAATCAGCTGAGTGTACAACAAGACTACCGATTCTGCTTACTATAGGAAGGAATGTGCTAGTAATTGAACTATCGAAAAGTAGAATGAGCTGCCTTGTTAAGATGTCAGTTTCCTGTCACCAGGGGTGGTCAAACAAAGACTGGATAACCACCTGTTAGGAATGTGTTAGAGGGCATTCATCTCCTCTAAATCTAGGCACCAAGTTAAACCAAATGTTTGCTAAGGTCATGGGCTCCTAGACCAGTGGCTGGAAGGGACCTAAGAGGTCATCTAGTCTGACTCCTTTATTTTGCAGATGAGAAAACAGTCTTATGGAGGCCAAGTGACTTGTCCAAGGTCACAGGTCATAAGCAACAGAGACAGGATTTAAACCCGGGAAATATGATCCTAAATCTTTCCACTGTCTTACCCTAGAGCTGGTTCAATTCCTAGTGGATCATAATTCTATGCTTCACAAATGCCAGATTGATTTAACATTTATTAAGCACTTAATGTTCATAAGGAGCTGTGCTCATTACTGAGAATACAATTCTGAGTTAAGATTCTAACCAGCCTCCAAGAGCTTTTAGACCAATGGGAGTGGGTGGCAGAGGGCAGAGGGGAGCAGGGGAGAAGAGACACGTACACAGACGACTCTTACGCAAGGGAGATGGTGGTCCATGCACAACAAAAGTCCAGGCAAAGCACTAGGAAAAATTTTAGGAGAGGGAAATTGTGCTGCTTGGGAGGCAGGGGGAAGTACATTTAGGAGGGTCACTGGGGAAAAGGTGTCACCTGAACTGGACCTAGGACCCTGCCAAAGGTAAACTGGAGGCAGGGCTGTGACATGCTTTCTAGCCACTGGAATCACATTGCCCCAGTGACTAGCTTCTTTATGTATAAGCTATTGCTGACCTTGGCCAGACTAACTATCCACAAGGCTATCCCAGTTAATGTGGTTTTCTGAGTAGAATCCTGTCAGCAGCAGCCAGGAATCCATACCAGCCTTCTTAGGGCTTAGCATTATAGTTGTGTTGTAACTGAACTCACTTGGGAGAAAAATGGAGTCCAGCTTGTAATCACCATTTGTTTTAAAACTTTGTCAATATAACACACATTTTTTAAAAAAGTACCTACTGGGGCAACTAGGTGGCTAGAGCACCAGCCCTGAAGTCAGGAGGACCCGAGTTCAAATCCAGCCTCAGACACATAACACTTACTAGCTCTGTGACCCTGGGCAAGTCACTTAACCCTGTTGCCTAGCCAAATAAATAAAAATAAAAGTACCTACTATGTGCAGAGATGGCCACTAGCTAGGAGGAATTTGAAATAGAAAAAGTATAGCACACACCTCTGGAAGCTGCCTTTCCAACTTGGCACTCACAGGTGAGGTCCCCAAAGGATGGTTGCTGCTTGAAGATTCTAGGGAACCCTGTGGATCTGTATTTCTAAAGCTATGGCTCATGAGCCCCCACCAATGGATTTGTTACTAACAACGAGCCAACAGACATAATTAATTCAACGTAAAAGCATTCATTAAGATGGCATATGAAGAACAGATTGTTGTACAGTTATGTTCAACTCTTTGTTTCCCCCATTTGGGGTTTTCTTGGTGAAGATACTGGAGTGGTAAAAACAGAAGCTACCAACTTGGGGCACCTTCCCTGACAAACACAAGTGTCCATGGGAAAAGTGGGCACAAATTTCAAGTATAATGGTGGTGAGGCACACACAGAGAACCCATATAACCAGGGTAACTCACGTCTCCAAAACCCTGCCTCAGCATCCTTTTTCTCCTCATGGAGTTTTCACAGACCTTACCTCTTGATCTTCTGGGCTAGTTCTCCCCTGAAACCACAGTTGACTCTCTTCTCTGGTTCTTGAAGCTACCTCTTTTCTCTAGCCATTGCCTTTTTGTGTCTCTCTGACTAGAGAGTGTTTCCCATCTCTCTGCTGAGTGTATCGACTATGTCCAAAACTCTTTTGAGCTGATTAACTACTGGGCAGGGTGTCTCTTACTGGGAAAATAACTCTGGTGCTAGACATAACAGCTAATGGAGAGAAAGGAGGAGAAAAAAACAATCCCTCCTCCCCACTCTCTGCTGTAGGACAGTGGTTGCACCAACGTGCTGCTGGTATGGATCCTTGAAAAGCCGTGAGTTCAGTCTCTTAGGAATCCAGGCATCACCCTCCCAATGGCATTCACCTTTATGACCCAATCCAAGAAAACTTTTCCTACTTCCTAAAGGGATAATGGGTGCTAACACCTGTGAACTTTGTTAACCCATCCATACCTCAACACCTTAGTTATCTGCCTTTTGCCTTCTATGTCTATATCAAATGAGGGTAATCTGGGAATTGATTGACCAGAGACCTATCACCCCCAATATAATACTTCAAAGAAGTATAAAAGTACTTTCAATTGTAGTATTCATATTGGGACCTAGAAATGGGATTTATTGAATACCAACAGAGTGCAATACAGTAGGAAGAGCCTAGGTTCTAGAGACAAGATCTGAGCTCAGGCGAGCCACTGAGCCATCTCTGGGCCTCAGCGACCTTATCTGTAAAATGAGGCAATTGGTTTCTGAAGTTCCTTAGTTCTGTGATCCTCTTGTTCAGATCACAGAACCAGAAAGAACTTTCAGCCCACCAGGGCTCCCCCCACCCTGGTCAGCTGAAGGGAGTCCACTTCTGACCTCTCACAAACAATCAGGAGACATTTGGTCCTAAGACTAACCGCCACTAAGTGTTAGTGACCAGAAGCAAGTCCCTTTTCCAGTTCT